CCCACACCTTCACACTTGACTCGGGGGCTTCTCGCTCCTTCTTTCGAGACCGCACCACACTCACGCCGCTTGGTCGGCCAGTTGCAGTCTCCCTGGCAGACCCCTCTGGGGGTCCTGTCCTTGCTCACTTCTCCACTGTCCTCCCTTGTCCGGCGGCCTCCTCTAGCACCCTGTCTGGTCTTTACCTCCCCTCGTTCTCTACGAACTTGGTGAGTGGTGCTGACCTACAGGATGCGGGGGTTCACCAGTTCACTCCTGCGAGTCAGCGGGTGACCCACTGCACGGACGCTCCGACAGGCCGACACCTGGCCACGTTTACACGTCGGCCGGGGTCGAGCCTGTACACACTGACCACTACGTCTCCTCCAGTCACTGCGTCTGGTCAGGTAGCTGCATCGGGTTAGGTGTTAGCTGTAGCGTCCAGGTCTGGTCCTGGGTCTTTGCGTCCGTCCACTGCTCCTCTGCGTGCCCCGTTGCCTTCTCCTCCTGAGTCCTCTCTTCCTGCTCTTGCCGTCCCTGAGTCGGACTCTCTTCGTGCTGCCAGTCCTACTGTCACGCGTCTCCTTGCTACTGTTGTCATTGACCCTTCCTTTGAGTCCACTGCTGCGTCTGCCCTAGTTGCTGAGCTCATTGACTTTGCTGCTCGCTGTCGCCTAGACTATGCCGCCAGTCTTTTTGCTGAGTCTGAGTCTGTCTGTCCTCCGTCTGTTGGGGGTGAGTGTGCTCTTGGCACGGACGTCCTTGAGGACAGGCAGGAGGAGTTCCAGTGCTTGGCCGCTGCTTCACCTCATCTCGTGTCCGTACTGCTTACACCTGAGGGAGACCTAGATGCACTTGACATCCCGACTCCGCGCTCTTACGCGGAGGCGATAGAGGGTCCCTACTCCTCTCAGTGGCAGGCAGCTATGGACGCAGAGATGGCTTCCTGGAAGTCCACAGGCACCTATGTTGACGCTGTTCCCCCTTCTGGGGCGAACATCGTCAGTGGCATGTGGATTTTTAGGGTGAAGCGACCGCCGGGTTCTCCGTCTGTCTTCAAGGCGCGTTACGTGGCTCGTGGCTTCAGTCAGCGGCAGGGAGTTGACTACTTTCAGACCTTCTCTCCCACCCCGAAGATGACCACTCTTCGGGTACTGCTGCACATAGCTGATCACCGTGACTACGAGCTACACTCTCTTGACTTCAGCACTGCTTTCTTGCAGGGCAGCCTGCACGAGGAGATCTAGCTGCGTCTCCCACCTGGTTTCACTGGGTCTTTTCCTCCTGGCACCCAGTGGAGCCTCCGGCGGCCAGTCTACGGTCTACGCCAGGCACCGCGTGAGTGGCACGACACACTGAGGACTACACTTGCGGCTCTTGGGTTTGCTCCCTCTACTGCCGACCCGTCGTTGTTTCTGCGCACCGACACTTCTTTGCCGCCGTTCTACATCCTCGTGTACGTCGACGACTTGGTCTTTGTCACAGCTGACACTGCTGGACTCACCCACGTGAAGTCCGAGGTGCAGAAGAGACACACGTGCACTGACCTGGGTGAACTGCGCAGCTACCTTGGCTTGCAGATCACCCGGGACAGAGCACGCCGCACCATTACCGTGACTCAGTCACACATGGTGCAGCAGGTCCTTCAGCGCTTCGGCTTCACGTACTCCTCGCCTCAGGCCACTCCTCTGTCTATTCGCCACTCGCTCTCAGCTCTGCCTTCGGATGAGTCCGTAGAGTCGAGTGGCCCGTACCCAGAGCTTGTTGGCTGTGTCATGTACCTGATGACCTGCACACGACCTGACCTTGCATACCCTCTTAGCATTCTTGCGCGCTATGTTGCTACTGGGAGACACCGACCAGAGCACATGGCTGCAGCGAAGAGGGTGTTGCGCTACTTGTGCAGTACGTCGCGCATGGGGCTAGTGCTTGGAGGGCGGAGTCCAGTGGTCCTCACTGGACACGCAGACGCTTCTTGGGCTGACGACCAGGCTACGCAGCGGTCGTCACAGGGTTACACCTTCAGCCTTGGTTCCGGCTCTATTTCGTGGCGGGCTACTCGCTCGTCTTCTGTTCTCGGCTCCAGTTGTGAGGCTGAGATCTACGCAGGAGCCATGGCTGCACAGGAGCTTCGCTGGCTCACCTACCTGCTGACTGACCTCGGAGAGCCGCCTCGTTCTCCTCCAGTGCTGTACGTAGACAACAAGGCCATGCTGGCCTTGTGTCGGGAGCTGCGACTGGAGCACAGAACGAAGCACATTGCTCTCCGCTACTTTCTTGCTCGTGAGCTGCAGCAGCCTGGTCAGCTGCGTCTTGCGTACGTGGCCTCTGAGGCCAACACTGCTTATATCTTCACCAAGGCGCTTGCGCCTTGTGACCATCAGCGCTTCTGTACTCAGCTGGGCCTTGTGCCTACCTTGCCTCACTTGCTCACCTCTTGACCTTGCTTGTAGTGTTACATATATGTATACCTGCTCTTGCTTGTCTAGCCTTTTTATATATATGTACTCCTGCATGTGAACTGGCCTTGTGGCCTTGAGTTTGTGCTCCGAATGTGTGGTGACTTTGTGATCCACCCTGAGCTTGCTTTGCTTTGCTTTGCTTGACTGGTCTTGTGACCCCTTGTTCTCCCCCACTTTGCCTATGGGGGTGTGTCAGAACATTATAGCTCATGCATATTGTGTAGGCTATAGTGGGGTAGCCCATAAGGGGTACAACCCAATTAGGGTTAGTACTTGTACACAATTCATTCATAGTTCATTCATTCTCGTTTCAATTCTCACAAACTCACCATGAACAATAAGTCCCTTGGTCCTTCGCCGGCATATCTGGCGTTCCCATCTCCGCCATGAACTGCACGAGTGTCGTGAACATGACAATGGGGGTGTCGGATTTGCAAAGGAAACGCACAGTCAGAAACAGCTTTACCAACCGCCGCGTTTCCGCACTCCTATCTCCGAAGTTGGAGAGAGATGTCTGCTTCTTCTGCGGGCCTTCACGCTGCTCCAACCGGTCCTTCGCCTCCCGGTGCCGGATGCTCCACTATTGCTTCCTTATCGTCTGCTTCTGTATGTCAATGCCTCCCTCGCCTCGAGCGCCGTACTATGACTCTGGATCTGCGTACACCATGCAGATCTTGCACCTCATGCAAGGTCGACCTTCGGATGTGTCACCGATGATGAGCCAAGGGAAGTGGCAATTCCACTGCTGCTTGGCTTTTAGCTGCATCTCCTCTAGCGTCAGAATCCGGGGTCTCCCATTCTCAGCTCCATGGCTCTCCCTTCCATCTTCCTTCGCAGTGGGATTCCCTGCAGAGGAAGGGCTGGGACGCTTCGAAAAAGGTAGCTTGTGTTGCACAAATTTGGTCTTGCCAGTAAACCGCGTCGGGAGAAACGGGGAGCGGGATTGAAAAGGATTTTGTTCACCAGCAACATCTGATGCGACAGGTTGACCGGATGGCGAACCCCCAGGGTGGCTTGTTGAGCTCGGTGACCGCACGGGTGAAAATGGTATGAGCGGCTTGGCATCCATCTCAGCGAAAGGGTAAGGCTGCTCGGGAGAATCAAGTTTGTCATTCTGACAGGCCGAAGGAGCAATAGGAGCAGCTGAGACTGGAGTAGGGGTGAACCCCCCCCCCCCCCCCCGTAAGGAAATCCAAGCCAGTGCGTGGGCGTGGCAACGCACTGGAAGGAGGTGAAGCATGTAGAGTGGATGCTGGAGGGGCCTCTGTGCGAGAGTCTACGGCCATCTCGGTGGAACTAGGCACTGACTGGCTCTGGCACACGAGGGTAAGATGAAGGACACCTGTGCTGTGGGGAGTGAGGGGGGACCGTCCGAACCGAGCCGCATGCATGGACGTCCCCTTCCCTGCTGGAAGCAGCCATGCCATCCATCTCTCGCTGACTCAACGCGCACTGAGGGCTGTCGGTGTTGCAAATGCAGCCTTCTACCGTGCGCTGGCACGAATATGCCAAACGACCTGGCAAGATTCGTGCCAGCGGGGTGACTGCGGCGCAGTGACGTGCGGTGTTGTCACCGACCAAAGGCCAAGTACAGCCTGGCGGTGGCATCACGGTGACGCGGCGGGTGGCAAGTCTCGTCCGTAACATAGGGCAACAAGCCATGTGGCCAACTAGCCAGGTGGGCAACTGGCCAGGTGGGGGAAATTGTCTGTTTCAGACGAAAAGAAACTCGATGTCTGCAGTCTCAGACGAATTGTATAAGGCTGTCTGAAAAATCAGACGACTAAAAAAAGTTGCTCTTAAAAGTCAGACGACAGTAAACAGCATGTCTACGGCATCAGATGAACCATTAAAAATGTGTCAAAAAACAAGAAATTCAGACAAAAATTTTCTGATTAAGTAAGCCCTGCCGTTGTCACTCTCGGTGTAAGCGCATGCCTCCCATGCACACATGCCCATATCCCTCACCTCATGCCACCCCTCTCCTCTCCTCACACCCTGATGCACTGGCCAGATGCACTGTCTGAGTCCAGAATTCAATGCTCAAACTTTTTTTGTACAGACAAATCTTCACAGGGAACTGTCTCACATTCAAGCTAGCCAGACTCCCCAATGCACCGTATCTAGACGCACAGCCCCCATCACATGCGCCACATACGCTTCCCTTGCATCTCCCTCATCTCGTGCCTGCCTCGATCCTCCAGCAGCACAATACACCACCCCAATGCACCGAATCTAGACACACAGGCCAACTGCATGCGCCACATACGCCTCTCCTGGCAACTCCACCGCCGGCCCACCACGCCAGCCTGCTTCCCATGCCCGCCCATCTCCCTCATCTCATGCCTGCCCCGATCCACCAGGAGCACAATACACCATCCCAATGAACCGAATCTAGACGCATCGCCCCACCGCATGCACCACATATGCCTCCCCTGGGAGCTCAATCCCCGGCCCCACCACACCTGCGAGCTTCCCATGCACGCCCATCTCCCTCATCTCATGCTTGCCTCGGTCCACCAGCAGCACAATACACCACCCCAACCCAATGCACCATACTTAGAGACACAGCCCCACCGCATGCGCCACATATGCCTCCCCTGGGAGCTCTATTCCCGGCCCCACCACACCTGCGAGCTTCCCATGCACGCCCATCTCCCTCATCTCATGCTTGCCTCGGTCCACCAGCAGCACAATACACCACCCCAACCCAATGCACCATACTTAGAGACACAGCCCCACCGCATGCGCCACATATGCCTCCCCTGGGAGCTCTATTCCCGGCCCCACCACACCTGCGTGCTTCCCATGCACGCCCATCTCCCTCATCTCATGCTTGCCTCGGTCCACCAGCAGCACGAGTGCAAACAGCCTTCCCCCCGCTACCACCACCTGCTTCAACTGCGCCCCCCACAGAATCTCACCTGCCCCTCCCCCCCCTGCTGCTCCCCCTGCCATCTCCCACACGCACGCTCCCTCTCGCCACACATCCCTTCTCCCGTGGCCTTCCTGGTTTTCTAGCTGCCGCTGATGCCGCTTGGAGCAAGCAGTGCAGGGGGGTTTGCAGGGAGGGGCGTTTGGCTCGCCTTGCAGCAGCAGAAGAGACAAGCTATGCTGTACCGCTGCCACTGTAGCGCCGCCCGCCCAGCCACATGCCCGGTGACGTGCACACGGTGACGGCCGCAGGGGGGCATGGTAGTGCGTGTGTATGGAATCTGATGGTGGTATCAGCGCATGGGGGGAGCATGAGTGTGCACAAGGCAATGATGGTATCAGAGCGAGCAAGCCAGCAGCAGCCAGGCGGTGAATAGGGTCGCATGGGGGGGCGAGACTCCACACCCCACTCCTCACATCGAGCTGTAGCACACACCCTGCACCACTGGCACTGGCTATAGCGTCAGCTGTAGCACCGGCTGTAGCAGGGGCGGCTGAGGGGGACGTGGGGTGATCGGAGAAGCAGGTGAGGCGGTGGCGGTAACGCGCGTACACGCGGTTACCAGCACGGATGACGTCGCAGGAGCGGGGGGAGATGGAGGGGTGAAGTGCGGTTGTTACATTCACACTGGTTGTTGGCATGGATGGGCTTGAAGGCGAGAGTGAGAGTGAAGGGGGAAAGCGTGTGGGGGAGGAGGAGGAGGATGATGGGGATTGAAGAGATGTGGCGGAGGAAGACAGCAAGGAGTGGGGAGACGCAGAGGAGAAGGAGGAGGAATACGGGGCTGTGGAGAGGGGAGAGAGTATGTTATCAGAGGAGCTGGCAATGGCATGGGCAGGAGAATCACCAGGGTGTGTGGGAAGGCCCGAAGGGTGTGTGAGAAGGCCCAGATTCAGAGAGGGGTTGATGGGCGTGGGTAGCTTAGGTTGTGTGGGTTGTGTGGGTGGCGTGGGTAGCTTGGGTACCAGTGCGGACAGCTCGATAATGGATGTTGTTTCGCTCACTGGAATATCCCTCATTTCGTTCCCCTCCCGCTCTTCGCCTGTGTTCCCCCCCTCATACCTCATCCTCTCCCCCTCCACTCCTCCCTCTCCTTGCACTCCGCCCATCCCTGCGCCCCAAACGTTCCCCCTTCCGCCCACCTTCCACCTTCCCCCAATCTCCCCGCCTCCCCCCACGAACAGCCTCCCCCCCGCCCACACCACCACCGGATCCAACCGCGCTGAAAACCCCTCATGCTGCACCTGCACCCACCGCCCCGCCAGCCAATCAAACAGCGACACGTGGCGGACCGCCTCTCCCGTCCCCAGTACCACTCCCCCTGCAATCGCGAGCCCCCACCCGGGAATGGCTGCGACTGAGAAATGGCGGCAGCGCTGCGACCCGTGCGGATTGGACGGCGGGATGGGCGGCAGCCGGCGCCACCTTCCGTAACCGTTAGATCCAGAGAGCCCGCCGCATCCTGACCGTCCACATGCTGACAGTCGGAATCTGCTGCCTCCGCTGCTACAGGAGCTTCCTGCGCCCTCCGCGTTCCGACGCGATTCGTTACAGGCGCTTCCGCTGAACGTCCATCGCGTTCCCTTGCTGCCGCCGCAATCCGCGGCGGAGGCGGCGGAGAACGCGGAGGCGGCCGATGCGGGGGGAAGGGCGTCCGCGCGCGCAGGCGCGGAGAGGTCGTAGGCGAACCAGTCGAGGCGGCCCGGATGCCGCCTGCTCGCCGCGCACAGACACACGTAGCCGTTACCCCCGTTTATATCACACTCGCCTCTCCCCTCAGTACAATCGCGGGCGTCCCTGTGTGAGCAGCACGCAGGGGACGACGCGCATTCCGCGGATTCCTCGCAATCCGGGTTTTCCGCGCATTCCGGGTTTTCCGCGCATTCCGCGCATTCGGCGCATTGCGCGCATGGCGTGCAGTCCCCCCCGTGGCGCGTCACCACCCTCCGCAACCTCTGCGCGCCGAGCGCCTGCTGCCGCCGCCGCTGCTGCGCGAACGCGTCGCTCGCAATCGCCGCCGCCCAGCCGCGGGACACGCAGCGCGCGACCGCGAGGTCCCAGAGACTAAGGCGAGACAGGCACGCGACGCTGACGTCATCGGGCAGCGGAGGAATCAGCGGAAGAATTGGCGGAGAGATCGGCGGAGGAATCAGTGCGGGAGCGGGCGAATGCGAGGCGCAAGCGGCAGCCATGGGCCCCGCGCCCAGCAGCACCCCAGACTAGAGCAGAACAGGTAAAACGCCGGGCGACGACCTGAACGCGCTGAGATATATTCAGCCGTAAAACTCTGTCAGACTTCGAATGTCTGCCCGAGTCTGATGCTGACCGACGAATCGGTGACTCACCAGGATCGCATACGATATGCACTGATGGGTGTTCGATACGTTCAAGAGCGGCTGAAGCAGCACCCCGATGGAACGGTTCGCTAAGGGCAGTCTCCATGTGTGCGTACCCGAAATCGGGTGATGCAGTGGATCGGGTAAAATGTTTCATTATGTACAGTATTTTGATTATCTTCTGCACCGCACTCGCATCACAAAGCCACTTCATTATGGTACTGATGTTGGTTGGCTAAACACCGTAGCATAAATTCTTTACAATTACTTTTGATTTTCCTTCACTCCCACGCCAAGCATGTCCGGTTCCTCCCATCCCCTCCTTTCCCGTCCTCCACTGCAAAGGCCAGCTTCACAAAATCCCTCAACACGATGTCGTTGCGCTCGCAGAACCGACCCGCCCAATCAGGAGGCTGCACTGCAACTGTCCCCAGCCCAGGTATCAAATCGTTGCTGTTTTGCTTCGCCCCCTTCCAGTCCTTAGTGTATGTCGCCACTCGCCGCCGATACTTGGCCTTGAACTCATCCCACACCTGCCAGGCACATACAAACAAAAGGGGAGGGAAAACGGGAGGTGATTAGGCTAGCGAGGTGAATTTTGAATTTGACTCCCATACCTGCCTGGTACACAAGAAGAAACAAGGAAAGCGAAGAGGGCTATTTTTTTTTTAGCAATGCATGCTAGAGCAGACGATTGAAACTATCAAATGGCGAACTACTACACACAATCATGCACCTCCACATGTTCCTCTCGAGTTTTCCCACAGAACAAACCCGGGCCACAACCGAGCGAACAACCCACCTGGAACCTGTAGTGGTTGATGTTGGCTAGTCGCACCCTCCCAGAGAACACCTGGCTGCGGTACCGCTCGTCTCTCAGCACAAACTGACGTACGTGACACAGGAGCACGCCCTTTACGCCTGCACATCCACCCACCTGAAACTTGTAGTGGTTGATGTTGGCTAGTCGCACCCTCCCGGAGAACACCTGGCTGCGGAATCTCTCTTCCCTCAACTCAAACTGGTGGATGTGGCACAGCAGCGAGTCCGCCACCAGTGCTACAAGATACACCCACACTAGCCGTGTAACAGCAACCCACCTGGAACTTGTAGTGGTTGATATTCGCCAGCCGCACCCTCCCAGAGAAAACCTGGCTGCGGTACCGCTCCTCCTTCAACTCAAACTGGTGAATGTGGCACAGCAGCAAGCCCTAAATGGCTCATTTCGAGTTTCCCACCCACAACCCACCTGGAACTTGTAGTGGTTGATGTTGGCCAGTCGCACCCTCCCCGAAAACACTTGACTTCGATATTTCTCCTCATGCAGCTCAAACTGGTGGATGAGGCACAGCAGCGAGTCCGCCACGGCCTCGGGCCGCACAAACGACTTGTGGCGGTCGGGTTTGCGGGCGCGGCACGTGTACCCCACCGAGACACCCTGCTGGGGGTGCTCCGTGAGGCCTGAGGGGCCGAAGTCCACACAGGGGAAGGAGATCTGCCCCAGCGGCCGCACGTCGTCCTCTGCTCGCTCGCTCTCATTCTCCATGCTGCCTCCTGTCCTGCTGTCACTGCCGCTGCCGCTGCTACTGTCGCTGTCGCTGCTTCCTTCCTGCCATTCTCCTTTAGAATCTGTGGAGCCAGACCCCTTCTTGCTCTTCTTCTTTTTCTTCTCTTTCTCCACCTTCTCTTTCCTCTTCCCCTCCTCGTCCTCCTCCTTCTCTTCCTTTTCCTTCGACTGCTTGTTCTTCTTGGCCTGCTTCCCATCACGTTTTTCGCCTTCCCTCTTCTTGCCCTTCTCGCCCTTCTCTCCGTTTTTGCTCTCCGCCCCTTTGCTCCTATTTTCCAGCTCCCCACCCTCACCCTCACCCTCACCCTCACCCTCACCAACAGCAAGCAGTCTCCTACCCACACCTCCCCCCACGCCTCCACTCTCCCTTGCACCTGCCACATCTGCTGCTCCTGCCACACCTCGCACCTCCTCCCCCTCTCTCTCCCTCACACCCCCGCCCATCCGCCTCTCCTCCCCATCCCCTCCACCTCCCCCCTCCCGCCTGCCACCACCCGCCATTCTCCTCCGCCTGCTCCCACCCTTCCCCCCTTCCCCTCCTCCCTTCCCCATCCCCCCCTCCCCACTCACCTTCCGCGCAACCACCTCCTCTATCTCCCTCTCACTCGCCCTCACCACCCTCCTCAGCAGGTGCGGAATAAACACCCCTTTCTCCCTCACCTCGGCCCCCAGGTCCTTCCTTCTCTCAGCGATATGTGCGATGAACTTGGGGGCAACGAACTCATCTACGTCTATGAAGCCCACCCACTCGCACTGCCGCGCTGCCCGCAGCACACAGTGGGAGAACCCCGCCTGCTGCGACTTGATCCACGGCCATGGGTGTAGGGTTACCACTGGGGTGGAGGGCCGAGAGTGACGGGCGGAGGAGGAGGAGGAGCTGGAAGTGGAGGAGATTGAGAAGGGGGAGGAGGAGGCCAGGCTTTGGTTCCGAGTGGAGCCAACAAACCCCGCCCGCACCCACCACTGGGCCCTCTCAACCCCCACCTCCTCTCCTCCAGCCACAACCGCACCTGCCAGCCCTCCCAACCCTCCTACTCCCCTTCCCCCACTCCGTCCTGCCGCCTCTGCCACCACCGTGGCCGCAGCCTGGCCGGCCGGCGTGCCCATAACCAGCCGAGCGCCGCCGTCCGCCGCCAGGCTGGCGACGACAGCTGTGGTGTTGTCCTCGCTGTTGTTATCATACAGGAAGATTCGATCCACGCCCATCCAGTGGTGGTATACCACCCACTCGCGCAGAAACTTTCCCACGTTGAAAATCATCGTGCACATGCACACAAAGTGTGGTTTCCCCCCATCACTATCACTGCCACCATTCCGGCTCCCATCGTTGCTGTCATGGCCGCTGGATCCTTCGCCTCCCTCTTGCTGACTGTTGGATCCGTGAGGGGCCTCGGGCTGGTCAAACGGGTCAATGGGGTCAAAGAGCGCTACAGACGGGAACAGCCGCCCCTCATACTCCACAGTCACTGCCCGCATGGCCAAATCTGCGACCTTCCCTGCTGCACCCACCCCAGTGCCGTCCCTGCTGCTGCTGCCGCTGCTGCTGCTGCTGTTGGCAGTACCACCATCAGCACCGGCATAGGTAGGCAGAGGGCAGAACACCACCTCCATAGCAGCAGCCCGCGCAGGCACTCGCAGCAGCCCCCCCTGCTCCGCCCCCTCACTGCCACTTTCCCCCTCACTGCCACTTCCCCCCTCACTGCCCCTTTCCCCCTCGCCGCCGCTTCCTCCTGCGCCAGCCCCCCCTGTCCCCCCATCCGCCCCAAACACGCACGTCACATTGGCAAGCACAGGCGGCAGGTGCGGGTTGGTCTGTAGGCCCCTCACAAACAGATACACGCCCTCCCTCCCCTCCCTCTCCTCCCTCTCTTCCCCTTCTACTGTATCTACCTTTTCCTCCATCCCATCATAACCTCTCCCCCTCCCCTCCCTCCCCTCCCTCCCCTCCCTCCCCTCCCTCCCCTTCCTCTCCCCCCTCCGCACCGTCACTGCATCGTACACCAGGGGCGGCGGCCTCTTTTTGTGGTTCAGCGCTTGCCACACGACTGAGCCGCCCAGCCGCCCGCCTGCCTTGTCTTCTAGCGTCAGTTGCACACCCTTGGCACCGCTGCTGCTGTCACTGCTCCCGCTGCTGGTGCTGTTACTGCTGCTGCCATTACCTGTGCTTGCAGATACCGTCGCAATCTCCCCTGCGGGCCGAGCGCAGTGCACGTAGATAACACCAGTAATCGACTCTCCCACCTCCCCTCCTCCCATCCCTCCCACATGCCCTTCTCCCATCCCTCTCCTTCCCTCTTCCCTCGCCCCGTTCCCGCCTGCCTTCTCGCCGGCCGCCCCTTGCACCCCCACTCCGGTGTCCCCTCGCTGCTCCTGCGACACTCCTACAGTCGCCAACCGTCGCCTGCTGCTCCCCTCCGTCGCCCTCTCCGCCCTGCGGCTGTTACTGCTGCTGCTGCTGTCGCTGCCACTGCCACTGCTGCTGCTTCTTTCGTCGCCCACGTCGCCCACGTCGCTCAAGTCGCCGACGTCGCCCACAGCGTCGAGCCCATCAGCCGACACCTGTAGCACCCGCGTGCGAGCAGTCAGCGAGCCTTTCCCGAAGCTGCACTGCATCCCCTTTATCCGCTCCAGCTGCTCCTGCGACACTCGAGCCCGGCCGAACCGCGCGTTCCTAAGAATTTCGCTAGAGGCTTCCTCAGAAGATCGATTACCAGCTGCAGCTGCTACGTCAGCGGCCGTGTAACCAGCTGCCACGTCGGATTCGGATTTTGGCGAGTTAGATGGAGCCAGCGGCCGCAGAAGGACGAGGATAAAGTCCGGGAGATCGATTGCCGCGTGCACAACCAAGTTTTTGAAGTCAACCAAGTCAACGGAGTCAACCGCAGAAATGCCGCTACTCCCGACCACCTCGCCCGCCTCATCCTTCTCACTTGTACCTTCCTCTCCGCTCGTTGCGAACGTTTCAACATTTCCGCTCCCCCCGTCGCCTCCGCGCGCGCCATTCAGGCTTCCGAACCCGAACCGGTCCTGCGCTCGCGCGCCGCCCCTCGCGAGCCGCTCCACCTCCATCCACCTCATCTCTCCCGCGTCGCCTGCGACTCCTGCGACGGTCGGCCTCACATCTATGCCTTCACTACCCGCCAATAAGTTATCGCCAAATTTCAGACTTGCGTCGGTTCCTCTCCGCCCGACCAGCGCCAACCACACGAGGAGAATCGCGAGCACAGAGAGAACAAGGGATGCGGAGGACAGGCGCAGCTGTAGCAGTAACGCCACGAGCCGGTAAATCAGACCTTCCCGCTTGCCCCGCGGTTTGTGGTATAACGGTATCGGCGCATCTCCGCCGTTGGATTTGTCGAAACGGGGATCCGGCGTGCCTGACCGAGAAACGGGCTTCGAGTTTTGCTCCGCGGAGTCGCGCCTGCTCATCGCCGCCGGGGATGTCGCGGACGCGCGCTGCGCGATCTCCGCGAGTGCGGAAGACGGAGCGCGCATTGCTGCGGTTACGTCACGCCTAACTCGGCACTAACCCGGATAACTACCCGACCTCCTAAATCGTAGGTTCAATATCCAACGACAAACTAACCTACTCACGCTCCCATCTCTCCCAGTTTACACAGTGTCAGGTCTAGTCAAGTCCGGTATTTTCAGTATTCTTGAGACGTCTCGTAATCCCCAGTGCTTCTAGGTCTCTAGTGATCAGTGCCTCAGTTTCTCGTACCTCGAAGATAGCTCAGTGCACCCAGTGTCAGAACCTGGCTCTTGGAATTTGACTGGAAGGCGTTCCCAAGAACCGCGGATTCTCTCGGTCTTTCCCATCCTAACCCAACCAATTTCTCCCGAAAAGCAATCCAATGGGGAGGAGAAGACAGGCGCGGCGCGACGATCGGCGGGAAAAAAAAGGCGGGAAGCTCGGTTGTGCTGTCGGGACCTGTTGTGAGTGACCAAGTGCATGTGCTTATGCGGGGGAGATAGCCTAGCTGGTGATAAGCCTAACTGGCTTGTACCGTATTAATTTAGGAAATAACCTGACTTGTACTTTGAGCAACAAAGCTAGGACATTTAGTCAACAATGTCAGCTCTAACTTAGTCAGTGTCTTAATCTGAACACAGTTTCGGGATCTACAGACCAGGAGCTGACTATCGACACCGACATTATGTCCACACAGCGGACATTGGTTGATCGAAGCTGCTTCTTAAAGTTCCCGTGTTTTTAGGTTAAATACTTTCAAGCTTCAGACATTGCTAAAGATGCTCCGACGAAGAACATAATGGCTGGACACGTTTTAAGTATTCACCAAAGAAGACAGCACGGGAAATCTAAGTTCAAACAAGTTCGTCAACGGAACATCTTCCGTTTATCGTCATTTGCTGCCATTCATCGACAACCACGTTTATCTCATGAAGAGTCCAAGATCTTTACTTCGATAGCTTCTAAAGTGCTTGATGATGAAGTCATCTTCCTTTCTGAAACGCTTAAGCATGAAGATCTAGACAAGAAACTCCAAGTTTTTTATGTTCAACGAGAAGACAACGCCGACAATGACAATGACCCTGAAACTCATACAAACATGGATGACTTTGGTGACACTAATAAACTACAAGATGCGCATCTGCAGCTAGAAGATGATGATTCATGGCGGCAATGTTCTAAGGAGTTCTCGTCCGTGGGAGCTAAATGTTTTCGTGAAGGAATCTTGTTTCATGGAGTGAACATCAGATCTGAGTTAGCAGCTTCAGCTGCTGCTGCGACATCTCGTCGTCAGTCCCCGCATCGAAGATTGGGAGCCGTTCAAGCCAGTTTGCGTCACCCAAAACGTCCGACCACATATGCCATTGGAACCGGTTTTCACCGCATTCGTGCTAAATTGGCTTTCACAGCAACCACTCCTTTCGTCTTTCGCCTCAAGAAGGTGAAGAGTGCAACCACCCCAACCTACCAGTTTCGGCAAGGCAAGTTCGGCACCTGTATGAAGCAACAAGTACAGCATGTGGGATGCTCCAAGGTGTTTCTGCCAGGAGTGAGAAATGTCAAAGGCGTGAAGAGAATTCTGAACGGGCAGATTGCAATATTTAGGCACCTGACTTTTAAACCACCTTAGATGTTTCCGCGAGGGTACGGTACAATTGTACCCAGGCCCTCTAGCCCGGTTACGACCGTGGATGGTGTTTTTTGCATTGTATAATGTGATTTCACCTCCTTCAAAAAAAAAAAAAAAAAAAAACTTTGAGCAACAAAAGGAATAAATGAATGAATGCAATCAAAGACTACAAATTTCTTCCTTCATTGCAATCTGTTAGAGCATTATACACAGGTGACAGGAATGCTGACAAGTCCTGGCCTAGAGAGCATAATTTGGGGTGCTTATGAAGAGGACTGAACAGAACAGGATCTGGAGGACGATAAAAGGTATGCAGAGGTCTGAGCAAAAGTTTCATGAAATACTGTCTCAGGATAAGGGGTGCTGCCTTTTTATTTGTTTTGACCATCAACAACAGAACCAGTGCTAGCCGTAGTCGGCCCTGTTGCCATGTGCTTCCGTCAAATGTCAACTGAAGGAACAGAAGAACCTATGGCAGCTGGCACTGAGAGCATGTGCAGAAGGAGGGAGGCGGGGCTCAGGCTGAACTTGAGAATGCGGCCTCTAGTGCCTTCCTCACTCGCTCCACTGATGCCCGCGGTGACTGGCGGGGAATGAGAGTCTGGTGGGGAGGAGGCGGCGGGTGGGAGGAGGGAGGTGGGGAAATGAAAGGGGGAATTCACTTAAGAGTTAGCCTCTAGCACCTTCCTCACTCGCTCCGCTGACGCCCGGAGTGACTGGCGGGGAATGAGGGTCTGGAGGGGAGGGAAGACAAGTGGGAGGGAGGATGGAGGGAAGAATTGGGGTAGCCACTAAGAGTCAGCCTCTACCTCTGGTGCCTCCCTCACTCGCTCCACTGATGCCTGGGGAGACTGGCGGGGAATGAGTGTCAAATTGTTTGTGCTGGATTTGTTAGCCTAGATTAAGGTTAGCTATTTGTGCCACCCGGCCCTTTCAGTTCAGTCACTCCTCTCAATTCTGTTTCCAACAGTGAGGGTCTGGGAGAGGGGCGGAGAGAGGCTGGGAGGGAGGGGGAAGGGAATGGAGGGAGCTGATATATATACATACATACATTTACACATATATATATCTGTACGTATATATGTATATACATATATTTACACAAAATATATAGATATATATAAGTGAGATGTCGAAGGATGTCAAGCAAGGTAGGAGGGTGGCCCTGCCAAGCAGCATGCAAGCATGCTGACCTCATCATCCTTCCCTGATTGGTCCACCGTCCCGCACATCATACTGGTATGCATCTATCTAAGAGAGCAAGTAGGCCTACCTCTACAGCGTTCCCTGATTGGTCCACCGTCACTCTCATCATGACTGGAATCTCGTACTGATATGCCTCCATCCACTCCTGCCTCGTTGTTATGTCGCGCACCTGCATGCACATGCACAGGGGAAGAGCACATGCACAGACAAGCCATGGGAAAGGGAATGTGTCAAGTTATGGCAAGACGAGTACTGATATGCCTCCATCCACTCCTGCCTCGCTGTTATGTCGCGCACCTGCCACAGTGCGTGCACATACACAGGGAAGGGGGAATAGGGATTTGTGGCTGGGGAATGGGGGACAAAGAAGGGGGATCGGGGGATGGGGGACGGGGGAAATGGTGGTTGGGAAATTGGGGATGGTGGATAAAGAATGAGAAGGGGTGGTTGGGGCATGGGGCATGGGGGAAGGGGAGCGGGGGATGGTGAGGGGGGGAATGAGGATTGAGGAATAGGGAGTGGTGGATGGGGAATGGGGGATGGGAAATGGGGGACGGGGGATGGGGCATGGGGAATGGGGGGTGCGGGAATGGGGAAAGGAGAATGGGGAACGGGTGATGGGGAATGGGTGGTGGGAAATGGGGGATGGGGAATGTGAGATTGAAAATGGGGGATGTAGAATGGGAGATGGGGAACGGGGGATGGGGAATGGGGAATGGGGAATGGGGAACGGGGAATGGGGAATGGGGAATGGAGAATGGGGGAATGGGGAATGGAGAATGGGGGAATGGGGAATGGAGAATGGGGGAATGGGGAATGGAGAATGGGGGAATGGGGAATGGAGAATGGGGGATTTTGATGGGTTTCTCCCCAGCGCACCTCTACCTGCACTGCTCTCCGACCCACTCAGCAGCAGCGCCGCCTTGATCTTCCCCAACACTCCTTCCCCTCTTCCTCTCCCCCATCATCCCCACCCCATCCCCTAGCCTCTCCCCCTTCCCCCCTCCTCCCCCTCTCCCCCCCTCCTGCGCACCTCAATTTGCAATCGCTCGAGAGCACTGCTCTCCGACCCCATCAGCAGCGCCGTATCAATCCCGCGTATCTCCCACATTTCCCCATGCGCATTCTCCCTTTCCCCCCCACCACGCACGCACCTCAATCTGCAATCCCTCCAGCGCACTGCTCTCAGTCCCTATCAGCAGCGCCGTGTCGATTTTCTCCCCCATTTCCTCTCCCCCCCCCCCCCCCCCCCCCCCCGCATTCCCCCTTCGACGCACCTCAATCTGCAGTCCCTCCAGCGCACTGCTCTCAGTTCCCATCATCAGCGCCGTGTCGATTCTCCAACCCCCCGCATTCCCAATGCGCATTCCGCCTTCTCTCCCCCCCTTCCGCGCACCTCAATCTGCAGTCCCTCCAGCGCACTGCTCTCAGTGCCCATCATCAGCGCCGTGTCGATCTTCTCTTTCAGCCCGTCGCACAGGCAGCACCCCTCGCGGCTGTATATCACCAGCCGCGGCCCGCTCCCCGCGCCAACCTCGCCTTCCGCGCCCCCCGCGCCCGCTCCGCCACTCGCTTCCGCTCCGCCTTGCGAGCTTGCCGCTGCCAGTGCGCGCGCCTGCCCCATTCTGGTGCGGACGCCGGCGATGGCGGGGCTTCCGCGCGTGACACGTGGCAGGAGGGGAGTGGACGAAGGAAGGAGGATGGGATCGTATGTGCGCATTGGTAAGGATTGGTTCGAATTGCTTCTACAGACTAACCGGTTGGGCAGAGCCGCGGCTCGGAACAACGGACGAACAATGCTGGCCATTTCGCCGGCCCTCACCGCTAATGTTTGGCTTATTGCCACGGGCACGACCCTGGAACGCGGTGAGATTCAAGTGGGGAGAGACAACAGAGGTGACGCTAGACAGCAGGAGGGAGCGCAGCGGCCAGATTGCAACTACAGCTGGCGAAGCTGATCAAATCTAAAAGGCACAGCGGGGAGGGCTGGATGATATCTGTAGGTTCTAGGTGCGGCGTTGTCCGCGATTCAGAAACACTCGGTAAACCAAGAGATTTATACGACGTACGAACTTATCTCATAGACGTACAATCGTACCAATCCCCGATTGGATTGGTTGCTGGGAGAAGTGGAGGTGTTGGGGGGAAACTGTTTTATTGGTTGAATGAGATACTCCCTGAGCCAATGAAGTATCAGGTCAGGTTCTGTGCGCAACCTTGACACGCATAACATGTCACGGGCTGATCTTTCCACGCTGTCGAAGCAGGGGTAATCTGTTTGGAAAAGCGACACTAGATGAAGTTTGCGAAACGTGTTTCCGAGTTTCAAGACAGTATTTCTCCTCACCTGGCAGTGCTTAAAGACTCTACACTCTAGAGGGGGAGTTAGCTATTCGAGCAGTAAAAGTTTTTGCGTTGCGAGCCATGCTGCCTTCCCCCCCTTTTCCGAAATTTGCTGCTTGGTCTCCGTTCGCAAAAATAAAAGGGGACAAGCAAGCAACACCCTTCCCAACTCACTTCCCTCACAGGTCACGAGTCACACCGATACGTCCGAGCGGATGTGGTAGGTTGTCTTGGCTCACATCAGCAGGCAGAGTTTGGCTCAATCCAAAAGCACGAATCTGGACATTCTGCTGCTAACATAGTGCACGCAGAGAAACGGCGAGAAGTCGCTTAGTATTCGGGCTGTCGTCGTCGCGTCAAACGCGGTTCTCGGCAGGCCGTTCGTTAGTCGCTGCTTCCCTGCGCGCCCAGGGGCAGCGGGATTTATAATCTCTCGCTGTAAACACTTCTTGCCTTTCTCGCGTCGCACGCTGCAGATTACTAATCCCTTTCTACCCAAACCGCCACAACCCACTGCTCGCAATTTCGTTGCTTGAATCCATTCAACGACAGGCAGGCTCGAGCTAGCCGGGAGCAAAGAATGGGAGGAGGAGCGGACAGAAGGCGAGCGCTTTCGCTGTTATCGCGCACCCTATCTTACGCCACGTCAGCATCCCTAGAATCCAATCGCGTGCCGTCCTACTCGTCCTACTCCTCGCTGCTGCTGCTGCGACGCGGACTGTCGTCGCCTGCCGCCAATCTCTCGTCGCCGAGCGTCGCACCGTCCATCCCTGCACGTCGCCGCCACTCACTACCGTCGCAACACACCCCTCGCCTCGCCCTACACACCGCTCGCCTCTCGTATCCCCTCGCCGCTAGTCGCAAAGCGTTACCACCCGTAAGCGTCGCCTCCTCCGCGGGTTTTCTGGGTCGTTACACGTCCGCCCGTGCGCTCTCGACACGTGGCGGCTGCTCAGATGGACCGAATGATGTGGCAGCGTTTCGGGTCTCCCGCGATGGTCGAGACGGTTTAGGAGACGGTTGCTCTCGTTCGAGCGACGGCGACAGGTCAAGGCGTCGCGCGCTGCGATGCCTGTCGCAGCCAGTCGAGGATTTCATGCGACCGTTCGTCGACGTGTCGCCCGCGATGTCGTCGTCGCACGGTGGTCGCTGGTTCGTCGCAGAGGGAGAAGGACGGAACGTGTATCGTAACAGAGAAACTAATAAAGGGTACGTCGTGGACTATTCGGTAAACGAAGCAGTCGCCTCAACTGACGCCCTCGTCCCTTCGTCGCACACTTTCGCAGCATCGTCGCGATCCGACGTGGCGTCGCCTCGAATCGTCGCACAGGGAGCGGAATGGGCGGACGACTTCCCGCTCTCGTTCAACAGCTTCCCCGCCCCGCCCAACCCTCGTCGCACAGGGAGCGGAATTGCCGCTAGCTTCACCCCCGCGTGGCCCAACGCGCGCCTGGAAGGGCCGGGGGGAGCGTGGGCGGTGCCCGTGTGGGTGGAAATAGCGGCGACGGCGGAGAGGGGAGCGGGCGGGGATGGGGGGGAGGGCGGGGCTGGTGTGCGGGGAGGCGGAAGCGACGGTGTGGTTGCCGGGGGTGGCGGAGCGGCGGGAGCGGGTGACGGAGGCGGAGGGGGGAGCGGGCGCGGGGACGAGGAGCTGCTGTGCCCCGACTGCCGCGCGCCCCTCTCGCTCCTCTCTTTCCCCGCGCTTGCCTTCCCCCATTCCCCCTCCTCCCCGTCCGCGTCCGCGCTATCTCCGCCCATGTCCGCGGCGGAGGCGCGCGCGAGCGGGCGCGCGGTGCTGTTCTGCCGCCAATGCCAGCGATTCACCGACAGGCCGGTGGCGGGAGGGACAGGGGAGGCGGAGAATGGGCGGAAGGGGAAAGACGAGGGGCAGCCGCAGGTGACGGCGGAAGGGCAGTGCGCAAGCGGGGGGAAGGGGGAAGGATTGGGGAAGGGCAAGGCCGGGGGGGGCGCGAGAGTGGGGGAGTTTGTGGAGGCGGACTGGTATGAAGCGGACTGGAAACATGTCTTCCCCCTTTCCGCCGTCACTCCCCCCGAGCCCCCCGCCTCTGACGCGTGGCAGTGGTCCCGCTTTGGGCGGCAACTTAGCCGCCAAGACGGCCGCCCGGGCGGCAGGTCTGCGCGCAGCGAGCTGGACGGGATGATGGGCGGGGCGAGCGGGGGGGAAGGGGGGAGCGCGCGGAGGGATGCGCGGGAGGAGTATGTGAATCGGTTCAAGGCGAGTTTGCAGGGGTGGGGGGGGCACCCGTGGGCGCAGGGACAGGGGCAGCAGGGGCAGGGACAGGCAGGCGCGGGGGGAGAAAAGAAAGCGCAAAGGCAGGGGCAGGGGTGGAGTGAGGGGCAGCAGGTGGGCAGCAGCGGAAGGAATAGAAGCCCTGGCGGTGGCGGAAGCAGCGCCAGCGCGTATCCCCCTAGCTTCTCCTCCCCCCTCCTGCACGCCCCCAGAGGCCCCCCCGCCCCGCCTCCGCCCCCGTCCCCCCTGGCCGCGCCCACGCAGATCCCCCCCGCGCCTGGCGCGGGTGCGGGGGAGAAGCGGGGGAGGGGGCAGCAGAGCGGGGGAGGGGAGGGGAGGGAGGGGCGGGAAGGGCGGGAAGGGCGAGAGGGGAGGGAGGGGCATGTGCCGTGTTTTGGGGCGGCAGGGGGAGGGGGGGACGGGACAGAGCACAACTGGGGAGGGGCGAATCTGGGGGAGAATCTGCCCACGCCCAAGCAGATCCGGGCAGCTCTGGATGAATTTGTGATCGGGCAGGATAATGCGAAAAAGGTGAGCGGGTGCTGGTGACGTGGCAGTTACTGTTAGGCTGGTGGTGTAACAGGTTTACAGTCACAGACTCGCTAAGAGCAGTATTTTTTCTTCTTCTTTTGATTTTATTTGTAACCGAATGTTTGCAGTGGCGGTGGTGTACCCACTACGAGCGCATCTTCTCTATAAGCTCATTTCGTTACGAGCCCTTTCCGATCCCCGTATGCTACCCTTTGCTGCAGGTTTTGGCAGTGGCAGTTTACAATCACTACAAGCGCATCTTTCTTGAAAACCAGAAGCGGGAAAGACTTGCCAACCTGCCAGAGGGGTGAGAAGGGGTAAAAAAAAAGGCGAGAGGAGGTTCAGAGGGGTGAGAGGGGGAGGAGAGGAAGTGGGAGAGGGGCTGTGTGCTGTGTGTGGTGAGGGATGGAGAGGGAGAGGAAATGTTCTTTAAAGTGATTCAAGCAAGGATTAAGAGGGAGAGGGAGAGGGAGTGACCGGTCATCTACCTGAACGATCCCCTTTTCTACACCTCACATGGGGGAAAGAGATTAGGCTTGCTCCACATTTTGCCCACTGTCCGCCCTCCCTCACTCACTCACTTCTGTTCTTGCTCACCCCCATGGTGGATAAGAGCAACGTGCCCCTCACTCCCTACCCTCTCCCTATGCCCCCCGTCGCCCTCTCTTCCACCTCTCTTCCCCCCTGCAGGGCGTGCGAGAACCTGGTGGGGGGCGGTGAGGAGGACGAGGTGGAGGTGGAGAAGAGCAACGTGCTGCTGATGGGTCCCACGGGTTCAGGTGGGTGCAAGAATCACCACTGCAGCATACGGGGGGCAGGGCCGCATGGGAGCAGCGGAATAGCATAGGGTAGGGCAAGCATGGGACGAGGTGCAGGTGGGGAAGAGCAACGTGGTGCTCATGGGAGGGACCCACAGGCTCTGGTGGGTGGGTGGTTGGATGCAGCCCATCGGAAGCAGTAGGTGTTTGGACGGGTTCAGGCGTCGTGTCGTCTCAAAACTCGATGGGCCCGACTGACTGACACATGGGTCCCTCGCACGGGCCCCGATCATGTCGCTCGCATACAGCTGTTCAGGTACTATCGCCTGTCAAGCAAGGGCTGCCCAGAGGGTTTATTGGAGGGAAGATTTTAACAGGCTCATGAATGCGTGTATGCGTTCTTGCCTTCCTGTCGCCCAGCGGTCTCATGAGCAACGTGCTTCTCATCTCGCTCACGCGTGTGTCTCTCTCCACTCAACTTATCCCACTCCCCACCTGTCAACTCACCTTATCGGCTCCACTCCATCCGCCCACTCCCTACCCGCTCCGCGCCTGTCCGGCCTGTGATGGCAATGTGGTCAACATCCCAGGCCACTCCCTACCTTATTCTTTGCGGGCGGTATTTCAACCGCTGCTGTCCCTTGGGTGCAGTGCATGCAGGCAAGACCCTACTGGCCAAGACTCTGGCGCGGTTTGTCAACGTGCCATTCGCCATTGCTGATTTTTGAGTCGACTCAAAAAAGTCCCCTCCCCCCACACACTGGTGGGTGACTATCCCCTCCCCCCCCCCCAACGCGTGCAGGCAAGACCCTACTGGCCAAGACTCTGGCTCGGTTTGTCAACGTGCCATTCGCCATTGCTGATTTTTGAGTCGACTCAAAAAAGTCCCCTCCCCCCACACACTGGTGGGTGACTATCCCCTCCCCCCCCCCAACGCGTGCAGGCAAGACCCTACTGGCCAAGACTCTGGCTCGGTTTGTCAACGTGCCATTCGCCATTGCTGATGCCACCACTCTCACTCAGGTGCGCCTTTAACGAGGTGACTCTTAATTGACTCAAAGGCCACTCTCACCCAGCTGCGTCTCATACCGCCACTCTCATCAACTTCCACACCCAGCTGCGTCTCATACCGCCACTCTCATCAACTTCCACACCCAGCTGCGTCTCATACCGCCACTCTCATCAACTTCCACACCCAGCTGCGTCTCATACCGCCACTCTCATCAACTTCCACACCCAGCTGCGTCTCATACCGCCACTCTCATCAACTTCCACACCCAGCTGCGTCTCATACCGCCACTCTCATCAACTTCCACACCCAGCTGCGTCTCATACCGCCACTCTCATCAACTTCCACACTCAGCTGCGTCTCTCTGATTCTCAGGTTGGATACAGCCTGGTTTCCACACTCTTTCACACGGGAGAGTTCACCAGTATGGTTAACCAGTAGGGTTAACTCTCCCGTGTCATGGTATGCCACTTAGGGAGTGCGTGACAAGGGGCATATTATTACTATCACCGTTGCTCTTGAGCCAATTCCCACACGATGACTCGTGATTCGCCTCAAAGGTCACTTCGTTACAGTGGCATGCAGGACAACGGGCTTTCTACTAGAACTGTGTTTCCTGAGCCAACGCTCACCTATTTCTCATTCTCTGGTGCTGTTTGTCGTGCAGGCTGGTTATGTGGGAGAGGACGTGGAGATGATTCTCTATAAGCTGCTGCAGGTGAGGGACAGAAGGGGTTGTTGGGGTTGGGACAGGGAGTGGGGGGTGGGGGGGTTATGTTATGTTAGTGTTTCTGCTCCTCGTGCAGGCGGGGTATGTGGGAGAGGACGTGGAGATGATTCTCTATAAGCTGCTGCAGGTGAGGGGGTTTGGAAGAGGTGAGACGGGTCAGTAGAGGTGTTAGCTTGTCGTGCAGAGGACGCGGAGATGATATTTTACAAGTTGCTGCACCTACAAGTGGAGGTGAGGGTAGGGGTTGCTGCACCCGGGTCCCAACCCCGGGTGGCTTCACGTAGCTCAACTGCTCCTTACAAGTTACATTCATTTTGCTCCTGATGTGCATGCTTGCATGTTCATGACTATCTGTTCTGTGTGTGATTCCCATGGTGGTGTGTGTGTGTGCGTGACTGTCCATTTGTCTTACGCAGAGCGCCAATTTCAGTGTGTCAGCAGCGCAGCAGGGCATCGTGTATATCGACGAGATCGACAAGCTTACCAAGAAGGTGGGCTCGCTAGCAGCACTAGCGGCACTAGCTGCACGGGCACTAGGAGATGCAACCCCCCCCCACTAAAGCAGCAGCGCAGCAGGGATCGTGTATATCGACGAGATCGACAAGCTTACCAAGAAGGTAGGCTTGCTAGCAGCACTAGGGGCACTAGCGGCACTGGCGCTAAGTAGGTGCTCCCCACCCCACCAGAGCAGCAGCGCAGAAGGGCATTGTAAACATAGATGAGATTGACACGCGCACTAAAAACATGAGCTTAATCTGGACAGCCCCCGCTCTCCCCTCTGTGCGTGCCTGGACAGGCAGAGGGCATCACGAGCACACGGGACGTGTCAGGGAAAGGCGTGTTGGAGTGTCTTATCCAATAAGTGTCTTACTGATTCCTCTCTCCCCCCTCTCTCATCTCCGCGCCCTGTATGACTGCACAGGCAGAGGGCATCACGAGCACACGGGACGTGTCAGGGGAGGGCGTGCAGCAGGCGCTTTTGAGGATGCTTGAGGGCGCTGTGAGTAAAGAAGAGGGGGGGGGAGGGAGGGTATGGGAGTATGTGAGGAGGTTGGAGGAGGCGGGATGGGAGGGACGTGTCAGGGGAGGGCGTGCAGCAGGCGCTGTTGAGAATGCTCGAGGGCGCTGTGAGTGGGGGGAAGGGGTGGGCTGTAAGGGGATATGATGTGAGCTGGTTTGAAGGACGGTGGGATGAGAGACACAGGTCTATTGGCGTTTGAGATGTGGCAGGGGAGGGCGTGCGGCCGCCGTTGTTGAGGATGCTGAGGGGCGCTGTGAGGGTGGTGTGAGCATCCATGAGCCCGTTTGTCACACGTGTGTGTCCCTCTACCTACTGGTGCGGAGCGGATCTTCTCACTCCCCCTGGGCCCTGGGTGCAGGTGATTGATGTGCCAGAGAAAACAGGGAGGAAGTCCTTCAGAGATTTAGGGCGCCTTGTAAGTCTCACGTGCCGGTCTTCCCCCTGCTCCTCCCCTCTTCTCCCGGGTGCAGGTGATCAATGTGCCAGAGAAAACAGGGAGGAAGAATCCAAGAGGCGAGTTCATACAGGTACGGGCTACAGGGGTGCGGGAGTGCGAGGGTTGCAGGGGTGCAGGGGTACGGGGGTAGAACAACGATACCGGGTGTTTCTGTTTTGAGACGTCTCAAAACACTTCTTCAAACACGGAGTGCGAGGGTTGCAGGGGTGCAGGGGTACGGGGGTAGAACAACGATACCGGGTGTTTCTGTTTTGAGACGTCTCAAAACACTTCTTCAAACACGGAGTGCGAGGGTTGCAGGGGTGCAGGGGTACGGGGGTAGAACAACGATACCGGGTGTTTCTGTTTTGAGACGTCTCAAAACACTTCTTCAAACACGGAGTGCGAGGGTTGCAGGGGTGCAGGGGTACGGGGGTAGAACAACGATACCGGGTGTTTCTGTGCCGAATGCCTGGAAATCACAACGAATATCACACAGAGCGGAAAGGGTTTCTGCTCAATGGCTAGATACGTTTGAGGCGCATTCCAAGCCGGAGTGTGTTTGTTAGCATGGCTAGCGACCTTCATCCCCTTGGAATTTACCTCAACAGAGGTGAGGGTCGATGAAGAGTATGTCTACCACCTCTTATTCCAACTTTTGAGGCGCGTCAGGAGTTGTCTCCGTTCATGCTTACTGCCTGCCATTCCCCTCCCGCATACCTCCCCTTTCTTTGCCCCACCCATCCCACCAGGTTGACACACAAGACATACTCTTCATCAACCCTCACCTCTGTTGCTTGCCGTGCCAGCCATTCCCAGCCCAATACCCCCTTTCCCATACTTGACTTTGCCTTTCCCCTCCCAACCCACCAGCTGGACACACAGAACATTCTCTTCATCTGCCCTCCACTGCCGCTGCCTGCTATTCCCACCCCCACGCCCCAAGCCACATGCCCGATGCCCCATCCACCCCAATGCTTCCCCTTATCCCACCCCGCCAGCTGGACACACAGAACATTCTCTTCATCTGTGGAGGGGCATTCGTGGATCTGGAAAAGACGATTGCAGAGAGGTGAGGCGGAGGCTGCTTTTGCTGACTCAAAATGCACTCACTGATACGTCTGCTATCGTCAGGTTTTTGAGATTTCTCAAAACATTTGCTGACTCAAAATGCACTCACTGATACGTCTGCTATTGTCAGGTTTTTGAGAATTCCTTCAAAATTTGCTGACTCGAAATGCACTCACTGATACGTCTGCTGTCGTCAGTTATGACCTAAAAAAAAAAATCGAAGAAAAGACAATCGCACTGAAGGTGCGCAACCATGGTTTTGGGGCAGGGAAAATGAAGCCACCGTTTCTCGCCTTTCAGTGCGATTGTCTTCGCCGCAGCAGTGTGTGCTACAACTGTGTATGCAGGCAATGTCAGGAATGCAGTCCCATCTTAACTACTTTGCCTACTCTGATGACCCACCCACATGTTAGAAACGACTTTCAATAATTGTCTGCAGTTTGACTCTAACATTGACTGCGGTTTGAATCGGTCTGATTGTCTGCAGTCAATGTTAGGAATGTATCTCCTGCCTTTCGTTGGCTGTGCTATGCTAGCCCTCAGAGCTCCTAAGCGCGCAACTCTGCAAGCACTGCAAGCACATACAATGTTGTCTTGACTGCATGTCTTGACTCTCTCTATTACCATTCATTTGTTGCAGGAAGCGCAAGTCATCAATCGGCTTCGGGGCCCCCGTGTGACATTGCTGCAATCATTGCAAGCAGACATGAGACTGACTGCATTCCATGACTCAAATCCCAATATTACCTTGCTGCGTGCAGGAAGCACAAGTCATCCATCGGCTTCGGGGCCCCCGTGCGCGCATCGCTGCGCAACCGATCGGTGCTTGACGCCCGCACTGCCGGCTCGCTGCTGCAATCGGTGAGTGCTAACTCTATACCGTTGGTTTGTTTGTTTGTTTTTTTGGTTGATTTGTCTGTTGGTTTGATTGTTTGGTTGGGTTTTGTTTTGTTTTGTTTTGTTTTGTCATTGTTTTAGCGCGTGTGCCAGCGATCCATGCTTGCAACACTTGCTGTGTGTGCTTGTGGGCGTGCTGCTTTTGAGAGCTGCTTTTCACTGTCCTATAAGCCACCTGCTGCAGTTGATGCGTGCTCTTCCTTCAACCATCCTTTCCCCGCCACCCCGCAAACCCCCTTTCCCCCTTTTTTTGTATCAACGGCTCGCAGAGAGCACTTTTGAGGCGCCTCAAAAGTTGTCTCTCTACCCGCAATTCCCGTATCTCCCCCCCCCCCCCCCCCCCCCCCCCGTCTTTTTTTGCTCATCAACTGCACTCAGAGAGCACAGATCGGGTAGCCTACAGGCTCGTCCCCGAGTTTGTGGGGCGATTCCTTGTGTTATTGTTATACCCCTCCAGATCCTCCCTCCCCATCGTTCAACATCCCTCCCCACCCGTCCCCACCCCTCCCTACCCCTCTGGAACGGCAGGCAGAGAGCACGGATCTGATAGCCTATGGGCTCATCCCTGAGTTTGTGGGGCGATTCCCCGTGCTGGTGGGGCTGCATGCGCTCACAGAGGAGCAACTCGTGCAGGTAATGACTGATGCAGGTAGTGACTTGTGCAGGTAATGACTGGTGCAGGTAATGACTGATGCAGGTAGTGACTTGTGCAGGTAATGACTGGTGCAGGTAGTGACTGGTGCAGGTAATGACTGGTGCAGGTAATGACTGGTGCAGGTAATGACTGGTGCAGGTAGTGACTGGTGCAGGTAATGACTGGTGCAGGTAATGACTGGTGCAGGTAATGACTGGTGCAGGTAATGACTGGTGCAGGTAATGACTGGTGCAGGTAATGACTGGTGCAGGTGACTGGTGCAGGTAATGACTGGTGCAGGTAATGACTGGTGCAGGTAATGACTGGTGCAGGTAATGACTGGTGCAGGTAGTGACTGGTGCTGGTAATGACTGGTGCAGGTAGTGACTGGTGCAGGTAATGACTGGTGCAGGTAATGACTGGTGCTGGTAAAGACTGGTGCAGGTAATGACTGGTGCGGGTAATGACTGGTGCGGGTAATGACTGGTGCGGGTAATGACTGGTGCGGGTAATGACTGGTGTGTGTAGGCTTTGGTAACAACAGCTGGTGCTCATGGGGCTGCGTGCTTTCACAAAAGAGCAACATGTGCAGGTAGGTGTAGTGCAGGTGGCAACTGGTGCAGGTGGCAACTGGTGCAGGTGGAAGCAAAGGACCTTTCTTATGCACTTCGAATTATGTCTATATACAGAGTTGAGTGGCTTTCCTTGCACGATTCGACACGTATTTTGGTCCATCTTCTTTTCCTAATCCCTGCCCAGAAAATTTACGTTCTTAAAACCGGAGGGCCAAGAAGGCCCAAATTGCCTCAACCTTCCTAACCTTGGTTGAGTTTGGCCCTCGCACCCAAAATCTTGGCCAATTGTGTTGCTCGCTCCAACCAAGCTTCCTAAGGTTGAAGTTCTTGGCCCGCGGGTTGTAACCCCTGAAACACTACCCGATTCTTATCCCTCTCCCCACCCTCCTGCTCCTTCTCCGTACTCGTTCTCTCCTCTCGGTGTGGCTCTCACTTGCAGGTTCTCTTAAAGCCCAAGAACGCCCTCAGCAAGCAATTCGCCAAGCTATTGGCCATGAACAACGTGAGTGCAGTGTGGGCTGCTGGTTGTGGGTCACGAGCATTGTGTTTTCTATTGTATAAATAAGAAATCCAGACAGTTCTCGGTTAGCAAGCAAGTGCAATTTGCAAAGCTACAGGATGCAGAATAGCACTCAGTGTTGCCTTCTTCCTTGTCCTCATGCTCTCCCAATCCTCCCCTCCCCTCTTACTGAGGCCCGTCTGCACATGACAGAGGAGGCAGTGAGGGCCATTGCGTGGAGTACAGCACCCATTCTTGCCCTTTTCCATGACCTCGTGCCATCTCCATCTCATCTCTTCCTGCCCTCCCTTCCACTCCACCCACTCAGGCCCGCTTGCACATGACGGAGGGGGCAGTGAGGGCCATAGCGCGCAGAGCAGCAGCGCGAAACACGGGGGCCAGGGGGCTGCGATCGCTGCTGGAGGGGCTGCTCACCGAGGCTATGTACGAGGTATGGCGACTGCCGAGGCTATGTACGAGGTATGGCGACTGCCGAGGCTATGTACGAGGTATGGTGGCTGCCGAGGCTGTGTATGAGGTATGATGATTACCGAGGCTATGTATGAGGTATGGCGGTTACTGAGCCTCTGTATGAGGTACAATGTAATAGATACGGTACTCACCAGGCCTATGTACGGGGTACGGTGTAACAGGCTAACAAAAGGTACGGCGGTTACTAAGGCTGTGTATGAGGTACGTACAGCAGTTACCCAGGCACTGCTTGAGGTACGTACGGCAGTTACCAAGGCTGTGTATGAGGTACTGTGATCGCCAGTGGACCTTGGTATTGTTGTGAAGGCAATGTTGTTGGATGAGGTATCAGTGGGGGCTCGGAGGGGAGGTGGGGTTAACCTGCTCGCTGCTTTCCTCCATCCATCCCTCCATTCCGTCCTTCCCACCCCAACTCCCCAGGTCCCCAGCAATCTGGTGGAAGCAGTGGTGCTGGACGAGGCATCGGTGGGGCACGAGGGGGAGGAAGGGGAAGAGGGCAAGCCGGTGTGCAACTGTGTCCTTGATCATTGCCCTCATTCCACGCCCATCCGTCATCTCATGCCCCAACCCACCAGGTCCCCAGCAGTCTAGTGAAGGCAGTTGTGTTGGACAAGGCATCGGTGGGGCACGAGGGGGAGGAGGGGGGGGACGGGGTAACCTGCACTCTGCCATCATCCATCCATCCCTCCTATCCCTGCTCTTCCAAGCCTGATCTTCCCGTCCCTGCCATCCCTGCCATCCCCACCAGGTCCCCAGCTCTCTGGTGGAAGCAGTGGTGCTGGACGAGGCATCGGTGGGGCACGAGGGGGAGGAGGGCGAGGACGGGGTACCGGGGTGTGGGGCCCACATACTGCAAGGGGAGGGCTCGTGGGAGCGGTGGTTGCAGGATAACGAGGGGGGAGGAGAGAAGGCGGGAGGGAAGGGAGAGGAGGGCCAAGGGGGAGGAAGCAAGGGAGGCTCATCTGGGGGAGGTGGAAGTGATGAGGAATCGGATGCAGCTCCTGCTCTTGCCACAGCCACTGCAGCTTGATCTGCCTTGTCGTCTCCTGTCGAGCACCTGTCTACCACGCTTGGACTCTTCTCAGCTCCTGCACTTGCCACAGCCACTGCAGCTTGATCTGCCTTGTCGTCTCCTGTCGAGCACCTGTCTACCACGCTTGGACTCTGCTCAGCTCCTGCACTTGCCACAGCCACTGCAGCTTGATCTGCCTTGTCGTCTCCTGTCGAGCACCTGTCTACCACGCTTGGACTCTGCTCAGCTCCTGCACTTGCCACAGCCACTGCAGCTTGATCCGCCATGCCACTGCATCTCCCATCCAGCATCTGTCTACTACCCCTTCTATTGTGGTGGACTGGGGGATGTCACCGTGCTAGAGCGTGCTGCTAGGTATCGGTGTATCCTTGCCGCTCGGAAGGTGGGATTGCAGGATGTTTTCATCATCTGTGTGTATATGCCTCCTCTTCTCTCTCGCTCGGAGTTCAAACAGTTTGTCTGCCTCCGATTGCATGTTTTCCTGCAAGTACTGTACTGCATGTATGATATACGTAGAGCAAACAAGGGGTACTATAACGCAGAGCGTGGACAATAAAGAGAGTGACAATAGCGAGAGGGGAGATGAAACCCCCCCATGCCCCCCCAAGGCCCCCCTAAGGCCCCCTAAGGCCCCCCTAAGGCCCCCCTAAGGCCCCCCTAAGGCCCCCCTAAGGCCCCCCTAAGGCCCCCCTAAGGCCCCCCTAAGGCCCCCCTAAGGCCCCCCTAAGGCCCCCCTAAGGCCCCCCTAAGGCCCCCCTAAGGCCCCCTAAGGCCCCCCTAAGGCCCCCCTAAGGCCCCCCTAAGGCCCCCCTAAGGCCCCCCTAAGGCCCCCCTAAGGCCCCCCTAAGGCCCCCCTAAGGCCCCCCTAAGGCCCCCCTAAGGCCCCCCTAAGGCCCCCCTAAGGCCCCCCTAAGGCCCCCCTACCCCCCAAATCCCCTCCAAATCCCCTCACAGCCCCCCACAGCCCCCCCCAACCCCCAATCCCTGGCATGGCATCTATCCCAGGCATGGCATGGCATGGTCCTGGTTCTGGTCCTGGTCCTGGTCTTGTTCCTGGTTCTGGTTCTGGTCTTGGTCCTGGTCTTGTTCCTGTTCCTGGTCCTGGTCCTGGTCCTGTTCCTGTTCAGGTTCCTGGTCCTGGTCTTGTTCTTGTTCCTGTTCAGGTTCCTGTTCCTGTTCATGTTCCTGTTCCTGTTCATGTTGTCAGAAGGTGGCTGGAACAGTAACAAGACGGCACGAACAGCAGCTGGGCGGCAGCAACAGTAACCAGGTGGCCATAGCAGTAACTGGGCGGCTGGAACATTAACCGGGCAGCTGGAGCGATTACCAGGCTGGTGAAGTGGTAACCAGGCGGCTGGAGCGATAACCGGGCGGCTGGAACGGTAAGCAGGCGACAGGAACAGTAACCGGGCGGCATAAACAGCAGCCGGGCGGCATGAACAGTAACCGGGCTTGCAGGCGCCAAGGCTAGGCCAAACCCACCCCGTGCCTAGCCTTGCCCAAACCCACCCCGCAGCTCTTATATATCGACACACGCACACACAAGTACCGTACAAAACAAGAGCAAGGTGCATGTCCTTGTAAATATCCTACTTGTAGATGTGCCTCTATCTTGGCGGGGTGAGAAGGTCTCTTCACGGCGCCCTGCAGCGAGAGAAGGCCACCTGCGCAAGGCGGGGTGGGGAGGGGTGGCAGGATGGCAGGTGTGACAGCATGGCTCTCCGAGCCTCATCCAGACCAGAGCGGAGAGTGAACAGTGCAGGATGGGAACCAGTGGGGTGAACAGTGCGGGATGGGGAAACAGTGGGGTGAGCAGTGCGGGATGGGGAAGCAATAGGATGAACAGTGGGGGATGGGAAAACAGGGGGGTGAGGAGGAGTGCAGAGCAAGGGAACAACGAGTGCAGAGCAAGGGAACGACGAGTGCAGAGCAAGGGAACGACGAGTGCAGAGCAAGGGAACGACGAGTGCAGAGCAAGAGCATAGGAGAAGGGGGCCAGGAGAGTGAGAGCATAGGAGAAAGGGGCCAGGAGAGTGAGAGCATAGGAGAAGGGGGCCAGGAGAGTGAGAGCATAGGAGAAGGGGGCCAGGAGAGTGAGAGCATAGGAGAAGGGGGCCAGGAGAGTGAGAGCATAGGAGAAGGGGGCCAGGAGAGTGAGAGCATAGGAGAAGGGGGCCAGGAGAGTGAGAGCATAGGAGAAGGGGGCCAGGAGAGTGAGAGCATAGGAGAAGGGGGCCAGGAGAGTGGGGACCGTTGTCTCACCTCGTGCCTCACTGGCTTCGCCTTAGCCTCGCCGCACCGTTGCCCAGCTGCGCCCGTCACTGTCGGCAGAAACGAGCAAGGGCAGAAACGAGCAAGGGCGGAAACGAGCACGAGGACATGGCATGGCATGGTAATCGGGCGGCATGAACAGTAACGGGGCGGCAGGAGCAGTGACGGGCGGCAGGAGCAGTGACCGGGCGGCAGGAGCAGTGACCGGGCGGCACGAGCAGTGACGGGCGGCACGAGCAGAGACGGGCGGCACGAGCAGAGACGGGCGGCACGAGCAGTGACGGGCGGCACGAGCAGTGACGGGCGGCACGAACAGTGACGGGCGGCACGACCAGTGACGGGCGGCACGACCAGTGACGGGCGGCACGACCAGTGACGGGCGGCACGACCAGTGACGGGCGGCACGACCAGTGACGGGCGGCACGACCAGTGACGGGCGGTACGACCAGTGACGGGCGGCACGACCAGTGACGGGCGGCATCAACAGTGACGGGCGGCATGAACAGTGACGGGCGGCATGAACAGTGACGGGCGGCATGAACTGTAACCGGGCAGCGGGAACAGTAACCAGGCTTGTAGGGGCCAAGGCTAGCCCAAACCTACCCCGTGCCTAGCCCAAACCCACCCCGCAACTCTTATATCGACACACGCACAAGTACCATACAAACAAGAGCAAGGTGCATGTCCTAATAAATATCCTACTTGTAAGTATGTCTCGTGTCTTGGCGGGGTGAGAAGGTCTCTTCACGGTGCCCCGCAGAAAGGAGAGAAGACCTTTCTGCACAAGGCGGGGTGGGGAGGGATGGCAGGTGTGACAGCATGGCGGATGGTTTAGAAACCATGGCAGAGGTTTAGGGTGCAGCACAGGTGAGTGGAGGGGAGCAGAGCACGTGAGTGAGTGAGGAGCAATAGGAGCGAGCGCGAGGGGCCTCACCTCACTGGCCTCAACAGGTCTGCCCAGAGCGCTCCAAGTCTGCCCCAACCCTTTTTGAGGTGCCTCAAAAATCTGCCCAGGGCGCGCCGAGTCTGCCCCAACCTTTCCGAGGAGAGGAGGTGAACGGAGGGAAGGAGAGGTTTTAGCATAGGGGCTGGCGGAGGGCGGAACGAGGAGGAGGGCGGAACGAGGAGGAAGGGCGCAACGAGGAGGAAGGGCGCAACGAGGAGGAAGGGCGCAACAAGGAGGAAGGGCGCAACGAGGGGGAGGGCGGAACGAGGAGAAAGGGCGGAGGAACGAACAAGGGCAGAATGACGGAAGTGGAACGAGCAAGTGCGGAACGAGCAAGGGCGGAACGAGCAAGTGCGGAACGAGCAAGGGCGGAACGAGCAAGTGGGGAACGAGCAAGGGCGGAACGAGCAAGTGTGGAACGAGCAAGTGCGGAACGAGCAAGGGTGGAACGAGCAAGTGGGGAACGAGCAAGGGCGGAACGAGCAAGGGTGGAACGAGCAAGTGCGGAACGAGCAAGGGTGGAACGAACAAGGTGAGAAGAAACGCAGTCTGGCAGCAGAGAAAGAAACACCTCTGATTCCAACTATTCTGTGGGAGATCGATTTCATTCTAACACAGCGAGTAGGTGCTGATAGTTTGAAAGAGAGATCAGCGCTGCTGTTCGATAGAAGCGAGCAGGGCGTAATCGGTGGTGGCGAGGACTACTAGGACGAGGTCGATGACAATGAGAGAGGCAAGGAAGGAGCGGCCGTGGTGAGAGAAGAAACGCAGTCTATGCACTCGTCTCTGCAGTCGTCTCTCGACCTGTTTGAGGGACTTAGAAACGTAAAAACGTGCGTTGCTCGACAATTTCGCGACCGTTCGACGGTGAGGTCCGACCGAGCCACCTCGCGCGCACGTGCGTTCGCTCCGCGCAGCGACCCGTGTGACATGACATCGCATCATGCTGCAAACTAAACGGACATCAAACGCGATATTCGCTAATGAGAAAAAGCGCGGGACGGCTAAACGAAAGCGCTGCGCAGGGTGCAGCGCGAGGCGAGCAGGACGACGACTATCTAACGACCGCGAGGCGCACGAACAAACACGCGACTAGGACCTTAGCGAATGACACAGCAGCGGATTAGGTGGCTGTGACTGTAATTCTAGCTGCATAGTAGGTATGAGGGAAGAAGGTTCGAGTAGACCCGAAGACGGTTTGGGCTGAGGCAGCAGCGGGATGGATGGGACGGGTAGCTACCCAACCCCACCCACACAATGTTTTGTAACATTGTGGGCAGTAGAAACAAAAGTAGGAACATATCGAACCATAAAGGGTGTATTCTGACCACTCCTACTAGTGTAAAATCTCTTCGATTTTACTGTAGGTTGTGTGAAAGGTATCCAAACCCAAACCGAAATGGAAAAAAAAAAAAACAAAAGAGAAATACACCCACATCTCCAATGGGTTTCAAAGCCTGTTCCAGCGCGCTTGTCGTGGTGGAACAGGTCAAGAAAAAAAAAACACCCACCAATGAAAATTCAAAGCCTTGTCCAGCGCACGGATCGCGCGGTGAAACAGGTCAAGAATGATAGTATTACGGTGAGGTTGGTTCCAATATACAGCGCGGTTCCGACGAATCCAAATTTACATAGTGTATATATTTCTTTTGCTACTCAACTAGCATCAATAGATGTTTGTATTCGAATGTGAATTGTTAAATGGGCATACGAGAAGATAAACAAAGGACACACATAATGGCAGTAGAAGTTGCGTAAACGGGAATCGCAAGCAAATATGCGTGAGGACGTATAAATCACACGATGCATACTAAACAAAAACGCAATAAATGTGTAATTCATGTCAATATTATCAATACGATAATCGATACGACGACGAGGACGACGAGGAGGGCAAGGAGGAGGAGGAGGACGACGACGACGAGGAGGAGGTGTGAAAATAGGAAAACAGGAATGAATGAACTATGAATGAAAGGAGTACAAATATGAAACCCTAACTGGGTTGTACCCCCTATGGGATACCCCACTACAGCCTACACAGCAGTATAAGCTATAGATATGTTCTGACACACCCCCATAGGCAAAGTGGGGGAGAACAAGGGGTCACAAGACCAGTCAAGCAAGACAAAGCAAAGCTCAGGGTGGATCACAAAGTCACCACACAGTCCGAGCACAAGAGCAAGGCCAAAGGCCAGTTCACAAGCAAGAGTACAGACATAAGACCCAGCTGGGTGCAGAAGCGCTGATGGTCACAAGGCGCAAGTGCCTTGGTGAACACATCAGCAGTGTTGGCCTCAGAGGCCACGTACGCAAGTCGCAACTGACCACGCTGCTGCAGCTCACGAGCAAGGAAGTAGCGGAGAGCAATGTGCTTCGTTCTGTGCTCCAAGCGCTGCTCTCGACACAAGGCCAGCATAGCCTTGTTGTCTACGTACAGCACTGGAGGAGAACGAGGCGGCTCTCCAAGGTCAGTCAGCAGGTAGGTGAGCCAGCGAAGCTCCTGTGCAGCCATGGCCCCGGCGTAGATCTCAGCCTCACAACTGGAGCCGAGAACCGAAGACGAGCGAGTAGACCGCCACGAGACAGAGCCGGAACCAAGGCTGAAGGTGTAACCCTGTGACGACCGCTGCGTAGCCTGGTCGTCAGCCCAAGAAGCGTCCGCGTGGCCGGCAAGGACCACTGGACTCCGCCCTCCAAGCACTAGCCCCATGCCTGACGTACTGCACAGGTAGCGCAATACCCTCTTCGCTGCAGCCATGTGCTCCGGTCTGTGTCTCCCAGGAGCAACATAGCGTGCAAGAATGCTCAGAGGGTATGCAAGGTCAGGTCGTGTGCAGGTCATCAGGTACATGAGGCAGCCAACAAGCTCCGCATACGGACCACTCGACTCTACGGACTCATCCGAAGGCAGAGCTGAGAGTGAGTGGCGAGTAGGCAGAGGAGTGGCCTGAGGCGAGGAGTACGTGAAGCCGAAGCGCTGAAGGACCTGCTGCACCATGTGTGACTGAGTCAAGGTAATGGTGCGGCGTGCTCTGTCCCGAGTGATCTGCAAGCCAAGGTAGCTGCGCAGTTCACCCAGGTCTGTGCACGTGTGTCTCTTCAACAGCTCGGACTTCACGTAGGCGAGTCCAGCAGTGTCCGCTGTGGCAAAGACCAGGTCGTCGACGTACACGAGGATGTAGAACGGCGGCAGGGAAGTGTCGGTGCGAAGAAACAGCGACGGGTCAGCAGTAGAAGGAGCAAACCCAAGAGCCGCAAGCGTAGTCCTCAGTGTGTCGTGCCACTCACGCGGTGCCTGGCGGAGACCGTAGACTGGCCGTCGGAGGCTCCACTGGGTGCCAGGAGGGAAAGTCCCAGTGAAGCCAGGTGGACGGCGAAGCCAGATCTCCTCGTGCAGGCTACCCTGCAAGAACGCAGTGCTGAAGTCGAGAGAGTGAAGCTCGTAGTCGCGCTGAGCGGCTATGTGCAGCAGCACCCGAAGAGTAGTCATCTTCGGGGTGGGGGAGAAGGTCTGAAAGTAGTCAACTCCCTGCCGCTGACTGAAGCCACGAGCAACGTACCGTGCCTTGAAGACAGGTGGAGAGCCCGGCGGCCGCTTCACCCTGAAGATCCACATGCCACTGACGATGTTCGCCCCAGGAGGGGGAACCGCGTCAACGTAGGTGCCTGTGGACTTCCAGGAAGCCATCTCTGCATCCATAGCTGCCTGCCACTGAGAGGAGTAGGGACCCTCTACGGCCTCCGCGTAAGAACGCGGAGTCGGGATGTCTAGTGCATCCGGGTCTCCCTCAGGGGCAAGCAGTACAGACGCGAGATGAGGTGAAGCAGCCGCTAGACACAGTAACTCCTCCTGCCTGTCCTCTAGGACGTCCGTGCCAAGAGCACACTCACCCCCGACGGACGGAGGACAGACAGACGCAGACTCAGCAACAAGACTAGCAGCGTAGTCGAGACGACAGCGAGCAGCAAAGTCGACGAGCTCAGCGACTAGAGCAGACGCAGCAGTGGACTCAAAAGAGGGGTCAGTGACGACAGTAGCAAGCAGACGCGTGACAGTGGGACTGGCAGCACGAAGAGAGTCCGACTCAGGGTCGGCAAGCGCAGGAAGAGAGGACTCAGGAGGAGAAGGCAAAGGGGCACGCAGAGGAGCAGTGGACGGACGTAAAGACATCCGGTGCGTGCCAGGGACAGGAGGAGGACGCTGACGCGAACTGCGACCACTAGCGCGAGCAGCACGAACAGGCGACGCGGGACGAGACGCAGGCTCACGACGCTCAGCAAGACCTCCAGTAGGACCAGTGTAAGGAGAGGGAGTAGGTAGTGGAGAGGAAGGCTCCAGTAGGGGCTGCGACTGGACCGGCGGTGGACCCTCTACTGGAGGAGAAAGACCAAGAACCTGCTGAAGGAGCGGAACGAAGTACGGCCGAGGCCGCGCGGCAGCTCCAGACTCAGCAGGGACAGCACCAGCACCCTCAGCGACAGCACCAGCGCCACCCACACCTCCAGCGGCAGGACCAACAGCAGCAGGCTCAGCACGAACGCCCTCAGCAGCTCCAGCTCCAGGAGGACCCACAGGGCCAGCAGCTCCGGGACCGGCTGCACCCGCACCCTCGACGGTCGAAGAAGCTCCAGCTCCAGCTCCAGCAGCACCTCCAGACTCAGCAGCACGCCTCCAGCGGCGAGCGAACCACTCGCGCAGCTCCTGTGGAGAGCGGGGCTCCCGGCGAGACGCAGCAGCAGGAGAAACCCCAGGCTCAGCAGCTCCAGACGCAGCACCCCCAGGCTCAGCAGCTCCCAGCTCAACACCCCCAGGCTCAGCAGCTCCCGACCCAGCACCCCCAGACCCAGCACCTCCAGGCACAGCACCCCCCGGCGCAGCACCCCCAGGCTCCGCACCCTCCGCAGTAGCACCCTCAGGCCCAGCACCCCCAGCAGTAGCACCCCCAGGCTCAGCACCCCCGTGCACAGCACCCCCAGAGTCAGCACCCCCAGGCTCAGCACCCGCAGCAGCACCAGAGTCACCAGTAACCTCGACCGGGTCAACGGCGTCTACCTGGGACACACCTGAGGGGGCAGGAACCTGAGGGGGGAGGGGGTCTACCGGGGGGGGAACCGGCACAAGGAAGTCCGGGGGAGGGGGGAGGGAAGGAGTGCGGTAGGGGAAGAGACGGTAGAAGGGGACTGACTCGTCGAACGTGACGTCCTGGGAGGACAGAACACGACGAGAGGAGGGGTGGTAGAACTGCCACCCTGGGGCGTCAGTGGGGAAGCCAAGGAAGACACAGGGAGCAGCACGAGGGGACAGCTTGTCCGCAGACAAGTCGCGGACAAACGCCCGAGATCCCCAGACACGGAACACAGATGCATCGCCAACCTTCCCCGTCCACAGCAAGGCTGGGGACATCGCTGGCCGAGAGACCCGGGGATGAAGGTTGAGCTGATGCGCCGCGTACCTCACCGCAAACGGCCACAGAAAATGGGGGGCAGCCGCATGCATCATGGACGTACGAGCGACATCCATGACCATGCCAATGCGGCGCTCAGCAACCCCATTTTGCTGTGGTGAGTCCGGAAGCGTGAAGGTCTGGCGGATCCCCCGTGCACGACAGTAGTCTCGCAGAAGGCGAGAAGAGAACTCTCCGCCTCTGTCAGAGTGCAGACGCAGAACAGGAAAGTCCGAGCCGAAGCTCTTCCTGAGCTGGAGACGAGCCTCGCGGATCCAGTCGATCAGCACCTCAGTGACCGCACCCTTGCTGCGCAAGGGGAGGACTGTGGTGTAACGCGAGTAGTCGTCAACCACCAACAGGAAGTAGCGCTCGTAACCCTGCCCACGGACGGGGGCTGGGCCCCACACATCCATGTGAAGCGTCTGCAGGGGAGCCTCTGTCGGGGGGAAGTGGGAGGAGTGAGGAGTAGCCCGGAGGCGACCCTCGACACAGGGGACACAGGAAGGTCCTGGCCCGGAGGGGAGAGGAGGGAGAGACTGGGGAAGACCAGAGACAACGACACGGGAAGCCATGCTCCGAAGACGGGGCAAGGAGGGGTGGCCAAGACGGTGGTGCCACAGGAGAGTCTCGTGAGACAGGAGGCGACAAGAACAGGGGGCAGACTCAGGACCTGACCGGGACGCAGCAGCAAGTACCTGACCCGACGCAGCCACCTGACCAGACGCAGGGACAGGAGGAGACTCAACGGTCAGGGTGTAGAGACTCGACCCCGGCCGACGTGAGAACGTGGCCAGGTGTCGGCCTGTGCGAGCCTCGGTGCAGTGGGTCACCCGCTGACGCGCAGGAGTGAACTGGTGAACACCCCCATCCTGCAGGTCCGCTCCACTCACCAAGTTCGTAGAGAACGAGGGAAGGTACAGACCCGACAGGGTGCCCGAAGGGGCAGCCGGACAGGGGAGGACAGTGGAGAAGTGAGACAGGACAGGACCCCCAGAGGGGTCAGCAAGGGAGACCGCAACCGGCCTGGCGAGCGGCGAAAGGGTAGTGCGGTCTCGAAAGAAGGAGCGAGAAGCTCCGGAGTCAAGTGTGAAAGTGAGGGAGGACGAGGACGACTCAGTACCTGAGAGCGCAGTCTCACCAGTACCTGAGAGCGCAGACGCACTGGCACCTAGAGCAGCAGCCTCACAAGCACCTAGCGCAGCAGTACCAATGCCCGGGTCGGGCTGAAAACACCGGTAACCCTCATGCTCCTCACTATAATCCACAACATACATAGCAGTAAGGATAGCATCAAAATCAAGATCAAAGATCGCTACACCAGCCCTGAGAAGCTCATCCCAGCGAGGGATCTCACTAGCCCCAGGGAACTGCTGACGCCAAGCGTCCGTCAGGCGGCCAAAGCAGCGCTGGGTGGCGTGGGCACCCCCACACTGCTCACCCGCGCGGTCGCCGGAACGAAGAACGTAGGTGCAGGGACCAGTACCCCCACCCCTCTAACGCCCAGCGTACCACTCACGAAGCTGCTGAGGCGAAGGGATGTCCCGCGAGCGCTGCTGCTGCTGCCGGTGCGAGCGCTGGCCACCACCACCGCCGCTACGCTGCTGGGTACCACCCCGACCCGCTCCACCTCCTCCACCACTACTGCCTCCTCCGCTGCCGCCTCCACTGCCTCCACCTCCGCCGCCTCCACCTCCGCCGCTGCCTCCACCACCACCGCTGGCACCACCACCACCGTCTCCGCCGCTGCTGCCGCCACCACCACCACCACCCCCGCCACTAGTCCCGCCGCCACCCCCACTCCCTCCGCCGCCACCGCCGCCACCGCCACCGCCCCCTCCAGCTCCACCCGCGCCCTTGCCTCCCTTGCCCTTGCTGGAGCGACGTCTCCCACTAGGGGCAGACGCCGCGCCGACCGACTCAAGACCAAGCAGGTCGGCAGCAGCAGCGGAGGCAACAGAGGGCAGCAAGGGGGAAGGAGAGCACCCCTCAAAGATGGGGGTGCGAGGGTCACCACGAGAAGCACCTACAGCGACTATGCTCTTCTCCGCTGCAAGGAGGGCCTTCTCGAGGAGGTCGACGGTGAGAGTGGTGGGACAGACTGCGAGAAAGTGGTCCCTGACGACGCGAAGGGAGTCAGGGAGGCGTGCGACTACGTAGTAGAGAGCGATGTACATGGGGGGGGGGTTCTTAGCGCAGAACTCAGCAGGAAGGGCGGCGCGGTAGCGAGTGTCACTAGTGCGGAGGTGCGTAATGAGGTCAGCGACAGTGGGAAAGGCAGAGAGGTCAGGAAAGAGGTAGGGAAGCATGAGACGGCTCAGTGCGGCAGTGGCAGGGGAGGAGTAGCGCGCAACTACAGCGTCGTACAAGGTCTGAGCACTCTTGTACTGACTAAAGTGCGCACGCTCAGAGGTAGGGAGGTGGCGACGCACAGCAAGACGTGCAGCAGCATCGCGGGTGGCCCACTTAGAGCGGACAGCGGGATCAGCATCAGCAGCAGGGGCAGGAGAGGCGCCAGAGGTGAGGTCAAAGAGAGAAAGGTCGTCAGCCCTGTCGCACTGTAAGAACAGTTGCAGGTCGTCTAACCAGACCTCAAAATCAATGGCGCGACCCTCAGCGTCAAAAGCTAGGACACTAGGGGTAGCCATGGTGACGACAGCGACGCAGTGCAAGCAGTAGGGAAAGAGCTCGCAGTGTCAGTGGGACAGTGCTCACCAGGCAGGGCAGGTCGTGCAGTCAGCAGAAAGGCGGCTCAGCGACCGGGCGGCTCGGGTGCACAGCTGCTCGGCTCCCGGGCGGCTCGGCGGCTGGGCGGCTCGGGCGCAGGGCGGCTCGGCTCCCGGGCGGCTCGGCGGCTGGGCAGCTCGGGTGCAGGGCGGCTCGGCTCCCGGGCGGCTCGGCGGCTGGGCGGCTCGGGTGCAGGGCGGCTCGGGTCCCGGGCGGCTCGGCTGCTGGGGCGGCTCGACCGGGAGATGCAGTGTCGGGCCGGCAGGTGCAGCGTAGGGCCGGCAGGTGCAGCGTAGGGCCGGCAGGTGCAAGTGGCGGGCCGTAAGAGGCGGCGGGCCGATGGGTGCAGCGGCGGGCCGGTAGGTGCAGCTGCGGGCCGGCAGGAGCAGCGGCGGGCCGGCAGGGTGCAGCGGCGGGCCGGCAGGAGCGGCGACGGGCCGGCAGGGTGCAGCGGCGGGCCGTAGAGTGCAGCGGCGGGGCCGTCGGCAGCAGAGGCGGGGCCGCGTCAGAGGAGGCGGCGTGGCCGCGTCAGGGGAGGCGGCGGGGCCGCGTCAATGGAGGCGGCGGGGCCGCGTCAGGGGAGGCGGCGGAGTCGCGTCAGGGGAGGCGGCGGGGCCTCGTCAGGGGAGGCGCGGGGCCGCGTCAGGGGAGGCGGCGGGGCCGCGTCAAGGGAGGCGGCGGGGCCGCGTCAAGGGAGGCGGCAGGGCCGCGTCAGGGGAGGCGGCGGGGCCGCGTCAGGGGAGGCGGCGAGGCCGCGTCAAGGGAGGCGGCGGGGCCGCGTCAAGGGAGGCGGCGGGGCCGCGTTAAAAGAGGCGGCGGGGCCGCGTCAAGGGAGGCGGCTGGGCCGCGTCAGGGGAGGCGGCAAAGCCGCGTCAGAGGAGGCGGCGGGGCCGCGAGTGAAAAGGCGACCCGAGGGGTCGCTAAAAAAAAAGGGCGCGCCTCGGGGCGCGCGTCGGTGGGCCCAGACAACGGTCCTAAGGTAGGACCCGCTCTATACCATGTGAAAATAGGAAAACAGGAATGAATGAACTATGAATGAAAGGAGTACAAATATGAAACCCTAACTGGGTTGTACCCCCTATGGGATACCCCACTACAGCCTACACAGCAGTATAAGCTATAGATATGTTCTGACAGGAGGAGCAGGGGCGGACGAGGAGGAGGGCGACGACGAGGACGACAAGGAGGATGAGGACGAGGACGAGGAGGACGTGGAGGACGAGGACGAGGACGATGACGAGGAGGAGGAGGAGGAGGAGGAGGAGGAGGAGGAGGAGGAGGAGGAGGAGGAGGAGGAGGAGGAGGAGGAGGAGGAGGAGGAGGAGCAGGAGGAGCAGGAGGAGCAAGAGGAGGAGGAGGAGGAGGAGGAGGAGGAGGAGGAGGAGGAGGAGGAGGAGGAGGAGGAGCAGGAGGAGCAAGAGGAGGAGGAGGAGGAGGAGGAGGAGGAGGAGGAGGAGGAGGAGGAGGAGGAGGAGGAGGAGGAGGAGGAGGAAAAGGAGGAGGAGGAGGAACAGGAGGAGGAGGAGGAACAGGAGGAGGAGGAGGAGGAGGAGGAGGAGGAGGAGGAGGAGGAGGAGGAGGAGGAGGAGGAGGAGGAAACACAAGCACAAGCAGCAAACAGTAAGTAGGAAATGCTCAATAGAAGTAGGACACACCAGCACGAGCACAAGCAGCAAACTGTGGTAGTGAGCATCCTCCTCACCATCGAGCAGCAAGAGGAAATGCTCTGCAGCAGTAGGACACACCAGCACGAGCACAAGCAGCAAACGGTAATTGTGAGCATCCGCCTCACCGTCGAGCAGCAGCAGAAAATACTAAGCAGAAGTAGGACACACCAGCACGAGCACAAGCAGCAAACAGTAGTAGTGAGCATCCGCCTCACCATCGAGCAGCAACAGGAAATGCGCAGCAGCAGTAGGAAACACCAGCATGAGCCAAGCAACAAACTGTAGTTGTGAGCATCCGCTTCACCATCGAGCAGCAACATGAAATGCTCAGCAGTAGTAGGAAACATCAGCACGAGCACAAGCAGCAAACGGTAGTTGTGAGCACCCGCCTCACTATCGAGCAGCAACAAAAAATGCTCAGCAGAAGTAGGAATCACCAACACGAGCACAAGCAGCAAACTGTAGTAGTGAGCTTCCGCCTCACCATCGAGCAGCAACAGGAAATGCTCAGGAGCACCATCACGCGCACAAGCAGCAAGCGGCGGTTGTGAGCATCCGCCTCACCATCGAGTAGCAACAGAAAATGCTCATCAGTAGTAGGACACACCAGCACGAGCACAAGCAGCAAACTGTGGTAGTGAGCATCCGCCTCACCATCGAGCAGCAAGAGAAAACGCTCAGCAGCAGTATGATACACCAGCACGAGCACAAGCAGCAAATGGTAGTTGTGAGCATCTGCCTCACCATCGAGCAGTAACGGAAAATGCTCAGCAGAAGTAGGACACACCAGCACGAGCACAAGCAGCAAACGGTACTAGCGAGCATCCGCCTCATCATTGAGCAGCAACAAGAAATGATCGGCAGCAGTAGGACACACCAGCACGAGCACAAGCAGCAAACGGTAGTTGTGAGCATCCGCCTCACCATCGAGCAGCAACAGGAAATGCGCAGCAGCAGTAGAAAACACCAGCACAAGCACAAGCAGCAAACTGTAGTAGTGAGCATCAACACCACCATCGGGCAGCAACAGGAAACGCTCAGCAGCAGTAGGAAACATCATCATGAGCACAAGCAGCAAACGGTAGTTGTGAGCATCCGCATCACCATCGAGCAGCAACAGGAAATGCTCAGCTGCAGTAGGAAACACCATCACGAGCACAAGCAGCAAACGGTAGTTGTGAGCATTCGCCTCACCATCGAGCAGCAACAGAAAATGCTCAGCAGCAGTAGGACACACCCGCACAAGCACAAGCAGCAAACGGTAGTTGTGAGCATCCACATCACCATCGAGCAGCAACAGGAAATGCTCAGCAGCAGTAGGAAACACCATCACGAGCACAAGCAGCAAACGGTAGTTGTGAGCATCCGCATCACCATCGAGCAGCAACAGGAAATGCTCAGCAGCAGTAGGAAACACCATCACGAGCACTAGCAGCAAACGGTAGTTGTGAGCATCCGCAGCACCATCGAGCAGCAACAGAAAATGATGAGCAGCAGTAGGAAACACCAGCACAAGCACAAGCAGCAAGCGACAGTTGTGAGCATCCGCGTCACCATCGAGCAGCAACAGAAAATGCTCAGCAGTGGTAGGAAACACCAACATGAGTATAGGCGGGGGAGGAGGAGGAGGAGGAGGAGGAGGAGGAGGAGGAGGAGGAGGAGGAGGAGGAGGAGGAGGAGGAGGAGGAGGAGGAGGAGGATGAGGAGGAGGAGGAGGAGGAGGAGGTTGAGTGCAATGCTGGTCCGTTGTGTGCGGTCATTGGTGGTGCTGAGTGCCCGTGAGCGGTGACACGCGGTGATGAGCGCTGATTAGGTTGGGAGCGGTGTCGAGTGGCTGTGAGTGGCTCTCGGATATTCAGAGTGGCAGTGAGCAGCGCTGAGCTGTTGTGTGTGGTCATTGGTGGTGCTGAGTGCCGGTGAGTGGTGACGAGCTGTGACGAGTGGTGATGAGCGGCTCAGAGAGGTGCGGAGTGGTGATGAGCGGCTTTGAGCGGTGCCGAGTGGTGATGAGCGGCTGTGAGTGGTGCAGAGTGCTGCAGAGCGGTTCAGAGCAGCAGTGAGCGGTGCTGGGCCGTTGTGTGCGGTCATTGCTGGTGCTGAGCGCCCGTGGGTGGTGAGGAGTAGTGATGAGCCACTCTGAGAGGTGCCAAGTGGTGATGAGCTGCTCTGAGCGGTGCCGAGTGCTGCAGAGCAGTTCAGAGCAGCAGTGAGTGGTGATGGGTCGTTGTGTGCGATGATTGGTGGTGCTGAGCGCCCGTGAGCGGTGACGAGAAGTGATGAGCCACTCAGAGAGGTGCCGAGTGGTTATGAGCGGCTCTGAGCGGTGCCGAGTACTGCAACAAGGTTCAGAGCGGCAATGAGAAGTATTGGGCCTTTGTGTGCGGTCATGGTGGTGCTGAGCGCCCGTGAGTGGTGACGAGCGGTGACGAGGGGTGATGAGCGACTAAGAGAGGTTTCCAGTGGTGATGAGCGGCTCTGAGGCGTGCCGAGTGCTGTAGAGTGGTACAGAGCGGCAGTGAGCGGTGCTGGGCCATTGTGTGCGGTCATTGGTGGTGCTGAGCGCCCGTGAGTGGTGACGAGCGGTGACGAACAATGACGAGCTTCTCAGAGAGGTGCCGAGTGGTGATGAGCGGCTCCGAGCGGTGCGGAGTTCTGCAGCGCGGTTCAGAACGGCAGTGAGAGGTGTTGGGCCTTTGTGTGCGGTCATTGGTGGTGCTGAGCGCCCGTGAGTGGTGATGAGCGGTGACTAGTGGTGATGAGCAACAGAGAGAGGTGTCGAGTGGTGATGAGCGGATCTGAGCGGTGCCAAGTGCTGCAGAGTGGTTCAGAGCGGCAGTGAGCGGTGGGTGCTGGGCTGTTCTGTTGTGTGTGGTCATTGGTGGTGCTGAGTGCCCGTGAGCGGTGACACGCGGTGATGAGCGCTGATTAGGTTGGGAGCGGTGTCGAGTGGCTGTGAGTGGCTCTCGGATATTCAGAGTGGCAGTGAGCAGCGCTGAGCTGTTGTGTGTGGTCATTGGTGGTGCTGAGTGCCGGTGAGTGGTGACGAGCTGTGACGAGTGGTGATGAGCGGCTCAGAGAGGTGCGGAGTGGTGATGAGCGGCTTTGAGCGGTGCCGAGTGGTGATGAGCGGCTGTGAGTGGTGCAGAGTGCTGCAGAGCGGTTCAGAGCAGCAGTGAGCGGTGCTGGGCCGTTGTGTGCGGTCATTGCTGGTGCTGAGCGCCCGTGGGTGGTGAGGAGTAGTGATGAGCCACTCTGAGAGGTGCCAAGTGGTGATGAGCTGCTCTGAGCGGTGCCGAGTGCTGCAGAGCAGTTCAGAGCAGCAGTGAGTGGTGATGGGTCGTTGTGTGCGATGATTGGTGGTGCTGAGCGCCCGTGAGCGGTGACGAGAAGTGATGAGCCACTCAGAGAGGTGCCGAGTGGTTATGAGCGGCTCTGAGCGGTGCCGAGTACTGCAACAAGGTTCAGAGCGGCAATGAGAAGTATTGGGCCTTTGTGTGCGGTCATGGTGGTGCTGAGCGCCCGTGAGTGGTGACGAGCGGTGACGAGGGGTGATGAGCGACTAAGAGAGGTGTCCAGTGGTGATGAGCGGCTCTGAGGCGTGCCGAGTGCTGTAGAGTGGTACAGAGCGGCAGTGAGCGGTGCTGGGCCATTGTGTGCGGTCATTGGTGGTGCTGAGCGCCCGTGAGTGGTGACGAGCGGTGACGAACAGTGACGAGCTTCTCAGAGAGGTGCCGAGTGGTGATGAGCGGCTCCGAGCGGTGCGGAGTTCTGCAGCGCGGTTCAGAACGGCAGTGAGAGGTGTTGGGCCTTTGTGTGCGGTCATTGGTGGTGCTGAGCGCCCGTGAGTGGTGATGAGCGGTGACTAGTGGTGATGAGCAACAGAGAGAGGTGTCGAGTGGTGATGAGCGGATCTGAGCGGTGCCAAGTGCTGCAGAGTGGTTCAGAGCGGCAGTGAGCGGTGGGTGCTGGGCTGTTCTGTTGTGTGTGGTCATTGGTGGTGCTGAGTGCCCGTGAGCGGTGACACGCGGTGATGAGCGCTGATTAGGTTGGGAGCGGTGTCGAGTGGCTGTGAGTGGCTCTCGGATATTCAGAGTGGCAGTGAGCAGCGCTGAGCTGTTGTGTGTGGTCATTGGTGGTGCTGAGTGCCGGTGAGTGGTGACGAGCTGTGACGAGTGGTGATGAGCGGCTCAGAGAGGTGCGGAGTGGTGATGAGCGGCTTTGAGCGGTGCCGAGTGGTGATGAGCGGCTGTGAGTGGTGCAGAGTGCTGCAGAGCGGTTCAGAGCAGCAGTGAGCGGTGCTGGGCCGTTGTGTGCGGTCATTGCTGGTGCTGAGCGCCCGTGGGTGGTGAGGAGTAGTGATGAGCCACTCTGAGAGGTGCCAAGTGGTGATGAGCTGCTCTGAGCGGTGCCGAGTGCTGCAGAGCAGTTCAGAGCAGCAGTGAGTGGTGATGGGTCGTTGTGTGCGATGATTGGTGGTGCTGAGCGCCCGTGAGCGGTGACGAGAAGTGATGAGCCACTCAGAGAGGTGCCGAGTGGTTATGAGCGGCTCTGAGCGGTGCCGAGTACTGCAACAAGGTTCAGAGCGGCAATGAGAAGTATTGGGCCTTTGTGTGCGGTCATGGTGGTGCTGAGCGCCCGTGAGTGGTGACGAGCGGTGACGAGGGGTGATGAGCGACTAAGAGAGGTGTCCAGTGGTGATGAGCGGCTCTGAGGCGTGCCGAGTGCTGTAGAGTGGTACAGAGCGGCAGTGAGCGGTGCTGGGCCATTGTGTGCGGTCATTGGTGGTGCTGAGCGCCCGTGAGTGGTGACGAGCGGTGACGAACAGTGACGAGCTTCTCAGAGAGGTGCCGAGTGGTGATGAGCGGCTCCGAGCGGTGCGGAGTTCTGCAGCGCGGTTCAGAACGGCAGTGAGAGGTGTTGGGCCTTTGTGTGCGGTCATTGGTGGTGCTGAGCGCCCGTGA